AATAAGACTGATAAACTGCGTTTTAAGGCCAAGGATCCTCTTCCAGGTTTTTCTTTACCTAACTTAAAGTTTATGTGAAGGGTTTACACAATATATGGCGGTTGTCGCCATGAAGCTGTAAAGTCTAAATTATACACATTTTGACAGGCAGAAGAATGACCAAAATATTCTTCAAAGGTTTGCATTTTGTTTGTCAGGTTGGTTGGTTGTTTGTTGGGGTGTTGAAGTGTTTGTATAATTATGATTGTTTTTTTTGTGCATTGCTTTATATCTTTATTAGATACTATACCGGTACAACGTTCATGTTCTTCACATCATTTATCGATTAACTTGATTTGAAATAAAATAAATCAAAATTCTTATTGAAGGTGGGAAGAAGTACAGCTTTGCTTAGTACAGACTTCGTTAATACTTCACATTAAGTTGAAGAATCAGCATTTTGTGGGTCGGAGGCTTAACGGGACTACATATAGTGCGCCACCAACGTTCGTATGTTTCTCAGACGTACTTCGTATGTTTTTCAGAACGCTGCATTTTCGGGGCTAATAGCTCAGCTCTCATTGAACGATGTTTTCTACCCGGGGTCAACACGTTCTCAGCTCTCATTGGACGCACTATTTCCACTTGTTACACAAATCAAAATAGATGTAATCATCTTTTTATTTCAATCACAAGGTCTATCTTGGCATCAGTGGCAATAATTTAGTTTAAAATGTAATCAGTCAAATTTAGAACTTACTAAATCTCCAACAGCGTTGACTCCTTGACACACTACCTTATTCACGGTGATGTGTATCAGCTCCAATCAGAACCCCAACAAACATGTTACGCTCTCAGATTGAATTTAAAGGGAAAATACAACATTGGCAAACATCAAAAAATAAAACTACCAAATCATTTTGAAATACCTTGCTGGACTGTTAGTGAATGACAGTGTAAAGCATCCTGTAAAATCATGGCACCTGGTATACTGTCATTTTCAAGAAAACTGGTATTTTTGTATCAATTTCCAACGCTGATCAGCCGATCAGCGTTGGAAAAAACTGGCTTTTTTCCCAAATACTGGCCCCAGTTGACCATCACACTTGTTTGCAATCGATTACACACCTATGAATGGGTACAAGCCAGCTAGACTAGTTCCCTGACCTTACAATTCCCCAATATATGTAAACTGCTCTGTTTATTCTTAAATGGAGTCAGGGAACCAGACTACAGGAAAATGATTGTTTTTCTTGGTTTTTATAGCATTTTCGAACCCAAAACCTCAAAAAAGTCAGTGTAACTATATTTGCTATATATTTCCAACCCCCCAATTCCATCCATTTCTGAAAATTACAGCAAAAGCAAATGATGTATATTCCCTTTAAGCTTCCTGGAAAGCATTGATAACATCTGTCAAAATTACTTTGATGCTTCTATCAATACTTTCCAAGCGCAAGCTGATAGGAAAATTTCCACTTTCTACAGTTGCGTAAATTTGTGCCGGCGAGTGGGGGAATGGGGGATGACCAAAGTCCAAAAATTGCCCGGCCGTGGAAATTCGAAGGGGGGGGGGGGTTGTACTTTGTTTCACCATTGTTCAGTGCCATTGAATACATTTTTGTTGTTGGGATGTTCGAAAAATACTTTGAAATCCGCATTTTTTTTTCTCATCACGAAAAAGGGGGGAGGGGGTAATAAAAAAAACAAAGCCTCAATTGGTTTCGTCTTCTTTTTGATGATTTGATCACAATTTTGTAAATGGAACTTCAAGTCCTTGAATGCAAGCTTTGGACTTACTTCGAGTCTTGCAAAACCTCGTAGTGACGGCCATTTTGTGCATGTAGTAACCCTGTGCAATTCCATATTCTTTGGCCTGGAGGTGAAAAAAATTACCTGTTAACGCAACAAAAGAGCATGATTGAAAATACGTTGCAACATTAACAACGTATAGGCTGAGGGTTACTGGGTTGTGCGTGGATTGTTTCCATAAAGTTTAAAACAACTCTACCAGTTGTAATCAACAGTACCCTATAAAATAAAATAAGTTTAAAACAAATTGATGTGGGTCTACTTACTGACTAGTAAAAGCCCCCATCATTTCCATAATTTTAGAGGTACATCCTCACCATTATGAATCACCACAATTACGACTTCAATACCATTCTCACCGCTACAATAACCGCATTCACAACTACCATCATTATCACCAAAAGGCCCCCCCAAAAAAGTCTCCGGTTTCTGGTATGCGCGCGCGTCGCCGTAGCCATGCGCGTCGGCAAAATGAAAAAGTTTTTTTTTTTCAATGAAACATGATGTCTCAAAACCGCCAAACTCACTGGTTTGACTGGAATCCTGCTGCTGCACAATTTTAACGTGTTTTTAGATTGGGTTATGGTCGCGAGAATAAGCTTTATGTGGCCTCTCTGGACTCCCATATATTTGCACTAAGTTTAGTCGGGCATCATTTGCAGTCATCAGCCGACATTTGAAGCAAAACAATCAGGTAAAAAAAAAAAAAAAAGCCGCTTCGCCGCACCACTTTTTGGGCAACCTCCATACCAGAAACCGGAGACTTTTTTTTGTTGGCATAATGCCTTCTTTAAATGCGTTTAATTACTAATACACGGCCATGGGCCTACACTCGGCTCCGTGCACAAGAATGAACCGCCTATCTGTTGTTATTTACAGTTTAAAAAACTCGGCTAATTTACGGATTTCATGCAATTCCTGATCTTTCGCTGTCACTGCACTCCCTCCACGTTTCGCATTCAACTTGCATCATTAGGCATTATGACGACGTTTTCGTGCAGTAGTATAGACAGTTTTGTAAACTACACCATCAACACCAGCAAGCGCACAGCTGGTATCAAACCTAAAGCAAGTTGTTTTGTGCATGTTGGGAGTTTTAATACGCAATTCTTGAGGGCGCTGTTAATCTATCAGCCGTGATGGGTGCACACCAGCAAATGATATCGACTCCTACAGACCTCAGTGATAATCACGCGCGAAACTCTCCAAGGTGTTTGAGACACTCATCAAATTAGAGCTTATTGCATCATCTTTAATTTTCCGATCAAGTTTGGGTGATAATCCGATGATTTTTGGGAGAAAATTCCATCCAAAGATGATCACCCCTAAAAATAGTCCTGTGGCCCATCACAATTTTTAAAAAATGATTAAAAGGCTCCATTGAAAAATATAGCACTAAAATTACCGTTAAAAAGTGCATGTTATTTTGAAGTGCATTTCTTGGCATTGGCATAGCAAAGTAGTGGGGGGCTCCATGCACCCCCCCCCCCAAAAAAAAGTATCCCAGATGCCCCCACACACACAAAACCATCTTTGTAAATGCCAGCAATCGTGGACTCCCTATTGTCCGTAATCCTCATTCATTTGTTTTGTTTGTACTTTTAGGAACAGCTCTCATTGGTTTTGTACACGAATTTCAATCGTGGTATCGGTCAATCGTGGACACATGTTTGTGGCGTAACCCTTTTGTCCTAGCTCCACGATTGCCGGTGTTTACTACTCACCCAGAGCCCGAAATGTACCCCTCGCCAGAGAAGTGTCATGAAAAAGAGCGCCCCCTATTGTCGCAGCATTAATAATAATGGCCGACACCGTTTTCAAACTGAATAGGTATAAAGCCAGTAAATAGACTGCCGTTGACCTCAGTGATAATTACGCGCACTTCCCAAAATTATCAAAAATACTCACAACTCCCCAAAGTAGTCGAGGCACACATCAAATTAAAGCTTATTTCATCATCTTTCATTTTATGATCAATTTTAGGGGGTTACCTAATGACTTGTGGGGAAAAAAATCCATCCAAAGATGAGCTCCCCTAAAAGTAGTCCTGAAGCCCATCGCAATTTGAAAATGGACGCCTATCCATTGCAAAATAGAGCCATTGTAGCGCCTAATTTCATCTGTATTTCACCGTAATACGAGTTCGCAGTCCTCTGCATGGCTTCCACCCTTCGTTTCTACAAACCCTCAAGTTCGTGGCTTTCGAAATGCTCTAATACCGGAGAATTTGCGGGCATGCAAATTGTGATTTGGCCGGTGTGGCAGGTAATTCTGTCCCCCCTGGTAAATGTGTCCCCCCGGACAGATCTACCGGGTCGTGACCCGGTAAATCTGTCCGGGGGGACACTTTTACCTAAACCTGTCCCCTGTAAACCTGTAAACCTGTAAACCTGTCCCCCTCTAGGTAAATCTGTCCCCCTGCACGACGTTAAATGTGTCCCCCCTGGTAAATGTGTCCCCGTGCAAAGTCACAAGTCTAGCACCCAGACTGTATATTAGTGAAGTTATTAACTGTTTTTGCGCGGCGCCTTGCTAAATTCGGGAATGGTGCTTACGTCAAAGCACAACTCCCGTTTTGATGACGACTTCGGGAGCGAACGATTTGCATGGTGGGCGTGCGCGCGATACCGCACCTACGGGCCGCGCCAGGGCCGCGGCCGGGGACGGGGACAACATTGCACCAGCAGCAGGCCTGCGGCGCGGTGACCCGTGTCGCGTATAATTTTGCCAATTCTCCTCATTGAAGTCCGCCATGACCGTCACACGCGTATCGGCGGCTGATGCGCATGCGCGCTAGCGATAGGTTGAGTATTACTACGCGTGCCTTCTCGCAGAAACATAGATCGGTTGATTAACATCTAAACGTTAATTTCATTTTGATAATTATTGATGAAGGGTGGAAAATCTAAAAATGTATACCTGTGCGCTGAATTTATTATAATAACATCAATATAACAACTTATGCGTGCAAAACCAGGGGGTACAGAATTAACTGGAGGGGACAGAATTACCTGGAGGGGGACACAATTAACGGGACAGGGGGGACACTTTTACCTAGGTCATTCTGTCCCCCCGGACACTTTTACCGGGGGACAGAATTACCGTCCACAGCGGCGTAGGCAATTTCAGGCCCATTTACTGGCATGCACCCTTTAGTTCAGGTTTCGATAGCCGCGCGTGATATTCTGTCATCGGTGTTTGCCTTTTACAATCTCTTCCGCGTCATTCATTCTGCTATCATTCTAACTGTTGAGAAGAACTTAAAAGAGAAAAAAAATGTCTCCTCGCGGGGCTTCTGTTTTTATACTTGTCTTCGTATTTGTGTCGATGTTATGTGGCACATTTTCAATGCCTTCATTTGTCTCCAAACGTTTGTGGTAAGTTGGATGTGTTAATCTTTTGTTTCTTGACTAGAGTTGACACACTAGATTTTGTCTGTGATAGCTGTTCCCAATTTCAATTTCTTTTGTTTTTCTTTTTCACTTTTCCCCATGGGTATTGTGTAAGTTTTCATTTTACATGCCACTTTGGGAACTTTTTTTTAAAGTACGATTACCTTTGTACATTGCATAGACGGTCATTTAAGCAACATGTGAAGATGTGTCCCGCAAAATTTCGTCATCGTGACTTCATCAAAACAAAAATATCTCACTAGAAGATAGCTATGATTCCCGTTCTTTGCACAATGCATTATAATTGCCTTAAGGTATGGTGTTCTATAGACGCCAAATCTGCGACGCGTCGTGCTTTCACGTCGTGCCGTCGCGTCGTACCGTCGCGTCGTGCCGTCGTCCGTCGCGTCGTGCCGTCTCCCGTCGCATCGTGGCGTCGCGTCGTGCCGTCGCACCGTTTCTAAGCTCGTACACTGCGTGAGGAAGCGACGCACCTTCACACGTCGCGTCGTGCCGTCGTGCGTCGCGTCGTCCGTCGCGTCGTGCCGTCGCCTGTCGCGTCGTGCCGTCTCCTGTTACCTCGGCGCTCCTAAGTAGACTGCTTGAAGAGGCGACGCACACATTGCCCGTCGCGTCGTGCCGTCGCGCGTCGCGTCGTGCCGTCGCCCGTCGCGTCGTGCCGTCGCCCGTCGCGTGACTGTATCTTTCTTGGCAATAGGTGGCGCCTTCATTCGTCATGTACTTGTGTTTAATAGGAAGGGGCGTAATCATACATGTCGCCACTACATTTTAAGTTAAATGGAATGGAGTTTGGCCGCCACCATGCATTAAAGTTTTTATCAGACTTGTGTTTTCTTAAAAAGAAGTGGTTTTCTGGCTAGGAAAATAGCAAGGAAGAACCGGTTTTGTGCGAGCAAAATTCAGGGAACAATCTGTTGATACTAAAAACTTGTTGCCGCCGTAAATAAGGGTTAAAAAACTCATCCGGTGTTTTGGCGACGCAGGGACTGGTTTGTGTACATGTGGTTTTTGTTTCTAGTTCACTTAATGATTTGATTTATACCGGTGATAATATGCCGTCCCACCTGTTTTTTCTTTTGTGTGTGTCGGGGGAAACAGTGCATATTTTCTGTGCCCTTTTTACGCACTTCATCAGTCACCCTTTGTTTAATTCTTTTATACGTATTTACTTTATTGCTAATGATGGTTAAGAATATTTTACGCGTTAGCATTTCTTGTAATGATCAGATTAAGTGGATTCCTTATTTTTTATTTTTATTTCGAAATCCATGCCTAAATGACCATTATGTTAGTTCTGTTCTTCAAGAACTTCCAATAGGACTTGTACGTTTTCCTCATCCAAGTTTTTTTTCTTGGTTGGATGGTGGAGATGGGTTAATCCCTGATCGGACCAGGCCATCTTTTATGTTTTTTTGTCGTTTGTATGCCAGGATGGGTTGGGTCGCAAAGAGTGCACTGTGAAAATCATTATCGCTGATCAGATTCCAATGTTTCAGAAGGGCCTGCTTAAGAGCTGGGTGTTTATTTTGTGGGTGGTAGGGTAAAACAAAGACCAGCGGGATATTCTTTTCGATTTTTGCACGCTTTTTAGAGTTCACGCGAGTTTCGCCTTTTTTGGGAAGAAGGGCTAAGTCTTCTTGGTTGTATCCGCGTTTTTGAAGTTTGTCTTGGAAGAATTCAGCCTTCTCCTCAAATTCTTTTGAGTGTGTACATATACGGTCATATCTCATTAATTCTCCCTTAATCAAACCGCCAAACACTGACTCAGGGTGGGCTGAATTTCGAGCAAGATACTGAAAGGTATCAGTTTTTTTGGTTGCTACTCGAGTATCCAGTTTCCCTTCTTTTTTGAACCGTTCGCCTTTGTAGATGACGAGGTCGAGAAAGGTGACTTGACTGTTTGAAATCTCTGACGTGAACTTGAGCGTGGGATGAATTTGGTTTAGAGTTTGGACGAGGTCACCGGCTTGGTCTTCGTTACCGTTAAATATTATTAAGACGTTGTCCCTGTATCTCACGTAACTCACAATTGAAGGATTGTGTGGGAGAATAATTTCTTTTTCATATTTGAACAGGGTTATATCGCATATTTCTGGACTGCATTCGCTTCCCATAGCCACGCCAATTTTCTGTCTGAAGAACTTTCCATTGAATTCAAATATGTTTCGATGCATGATAAGTTCCGGGAGACAGCGAGCGTGTTCTCTTGTAGGTTTGGGTATTGCGTACATACTGCTATCGGCAACTTCAAGTGCATCGCAAACTGATTCAATTGCCTCATCTACGGTGGGCAGTTCGTATACATGGACACAATATCCAATCATCAATAGGCTATCCTGCTTCAATGTCACGTTGTTTAGTTTTTCAAGCACATGCCCGGAATCGCGTGTATAATTATGTGCTTTATTGTTTGACAATCGGAAGCAGAAAATAGTCTATGTATTTTGAAATTGATTGAGTCGGACCTCCGCAACCACTAATAATAGGCCTCCCCACAAACCGTGTACAAACTGTACGACATAGCAATTTGCAACACTTTCACCACACGGCACGCATGTCATAAATACAGTACAGTTACATGAAGAATGAAGGTGCCACCTATTGCCAAGAAAGATACAGTCACGCGACGGGCGACGGCACGACGCGACGGGCAACGGCACGACGCGACGGCACGACGCGACGGGCGACGGCACGACGCGACGCGCGACGGCACGACGCGACGGGCAATGTGTGCGTCGCCTCTTCAAGCAGTCTACTTAGAAGCGCCGAGGTAACAGGCGACGGCACGACGCGACGGGCGACGGCACGACGCGACGGACGACGGCACGACGCGACGCACGACGGCACGACGCGACGTGTGAAGGTGCGTCGCTTCCTCATGCAGTGTACGTGCTTAGAAACGGTAATTTTACAGGCGACGGCACGACGCGACGGGCGACGGCACGACGCGACGGACGACGGCACGACGCGACGGTACGACCCGACGGCACGACGTGAAAGCACGACGCGAGGCAGGTTTGGCGTCTATAGAACACCATATTAAGGTGTGTGTGCTGGAATATGTCAAGGTCATGTGATCCTTACTTCCAGTGTTACCAGAATATTTTATTGAAGACCCTAATTATGATATCTCACGAATTATTAATTTGATGGGTTGATACTGTACATTATTTTGTAGGCAGCAATATTTAAAGTTAAATATGTTACATTCATATTACCATGCAATCTATTATTCTTATATTATGACGTCATGAATATTTAATGAGACAAATTTGTGGCATCATATCTCGGCAGTATGACAGGTATGATACTTTTCTTTTGCGTTTGTATCATAGTATACTGAAGGTGTGCCTGCACAGATGTAAAGGACATGTGACCCTTACTTCCGGTGTTACCTGAAGTGCAATAAGATTATAATTTCAATGTTTAAGTGACAGTGTATAGATAATTCATTCAACCATTTTGTACCGTCCAATAGACAATCAAAAACCATATTGGGAACAGCTTTGCGGTTGTTCAGTACTACCACAATCTTATTTTGATTTTTTTCTTGCGGCTTTGCTTTGCAAGTTTTTGCAAAAGCTCAGCAAATAAATGAAATGTGCTAGTACGTGAATCATGATCCATAATGTTTCTTAGACGACAGGCATGACACTAAAATTGACAGGATTAGTCAAAACAACTATCCTACAATTCTTCAATATTTTTGTCTGAAAGTATAAATGCAATATATTTCATTTAGTTTACTTTTAACCTTCACTGCATTGGATGATGCACAGCATTGTGTAGATTCTTCAATTTCTTTTTCAATTTATTTCTCAGTGAAAACTGTGTAGAAAACAAGCATACAAATTCATGGGACTATCTCCTCTTTGTGAACGAGTGGCCAGAGTCGTTTTGCAAGTTCTACAATGTAAGCGGATTGAACCAGTGAATAATTCCTTAAGATATAGATTTTCAAACAGAAGCAATCTCAACAGTTATTTCTGCTGCTCAGAGCATCAATAATAAAAAAAAAGTTAAGATTATGAGCTGAAGTGGCTAATACTAGCCCTAATTGGGGGGGGGGGGGGGTTCGTTTGTTTCTAAAGTTCCATAGTTTGTTCTGTTGACAAACTTGGCAAGAGAATGTAAGAACGATAGTGGCATTGACAAAAATGTTCAGGGTTTGGAATTTTCAGTATTTCAGTACAAAGAAACACATTGAAAATATAATATAAATGAGGACTTTTCATTGGTTATTTTGTAAATGTTGCGTTAACATGTGTACTCTTTAAGCTGTTAAATTTTATTATGTGTAACGGTCGAAAATTTGACTATTCACTGTTAAACTTAACAGTAATTTGCCTTTTGCAAAACGAACTTAGTAACGTGTCATTTGGTGGAAATATTTGGCCTGCAAATTAACACATTTAACAATGCTGGTCTCAAAAAAAAAATTCAAGTTAAGTATGAAACTGACTATGAATTATTTTACCAAAAGATAAACAGATCTTCATTTTTTTTTTATAAAATTGTATTTAAGGCCAAAAAAAAAATAAGTCGGTCTCTGGTCAGCGCGCGCGTCGATTTTAATCATGCGCGTCGATCTTTTTTTTTTTCCAAAATGTTCCGCGGTAGCTCCAACAGCGCCCTCTATTTCCGCACCTCCTCAATTTTGTTTACCAAAGAGCACCAAGGAATGGGAAATTGTACCAAGGCAAATGATCGAAAGCACCAAGGCAAATTATGGAGGACACCAATGTACATGAGGACGCCAAAAAAGCAAAATAGTACCCCACCTTGTCTGTACAATCCAAGCTTGAAGAAAAAAGAAAAAAAAGCAAAAAAAAAAAAAAAAAAAGCCGCGTAGCCGCGTCAATTCCGGAACTTTGGTCTGACCAGAGACCGAATATTTTTGTTTTGGCCTAATTGTCCAATTTTGAGCTTAACAAATGCCACATATTTTCACTTCCAGGCATCACACGGACATGATAAAAAAGCTGAGAAAAAATGCGTCATTCCGCCAAGCGTATCAACTTGGACCATCCATGGCACATGGTAAAAAAAAACCTATATCAGACTTTTCAATATAAGAAGATAAAAAAGGAAGTCTTAGACTGAAGAGAAAAATTGGAAAGTCCCTCGATGTTTTCTTTGATATTATTATTAAAATTATATTCAGCTTTTTATTTTTTGGTGTATTAGTTTGGTATATGTGATACTCTTGCTGTTGTCGTTGTTGTCGTTGTGGTCGTTGTGGTCGTCGTCGTTTTGGGGGAAATTATTATTAAACTTGGTGAACTTCACTTACAGTATTTGTTTCATTGTTACAGTATTTGTTTCACATAAATATTCCTTGAATGATCCTAGAACCACGTAATATGATATTCAGAATGTTCCATGTTTGTTAATTGACAGGCCCAAGAAGACAGGCACCAAAGGACCAACGAGTTGCAACAATACTTGGCAATTCAAATTAAGTCAAATTAAAGTAAGTAATTCATCAATACGTCTTTGCCTAATGAGAATGACATCGTTTTTGATTTATTTCTTTTTTTTAAATGTTTTTCGGTTTTTCCTTGTGTGTATTAATTTTATTTTACCTTTATTTTTGTTGCAAATGTAGGCATATTTCATCTTACGACAAGTGCAGGAATTTAAGTCTGTGCTGATTTTTTTTACGTTGAATTGAGCGAGTTTCCTCTGTTTTTCAGGATCTGGTTCCTGTACTGAACAAAACTTGGCCTGGGCTACTGACAGCAAAAGAATATTGGAGTTTTTGGTGAGGTCACAATCATTTCCTCATTTTCCTTCCAGTTCTGAGAAAACCTCCGAGAGCTGAACCACATTTGTGGTAAAAATACGCCAGTTTTCAACTCACCCCAGTGACCTAGTGTCACCATTCCATTCCTCATTCTTAACCTGAACATCATTGGAGTGGATTGCAAACCACTTCTGGTGTCCGTTTAAACAACCCTCCATATATTGTCCTCATTCGTAGTTATTGCCTCAAACATCAGCAGGATTCAGTCCCCATCATCAAGGACAAACTAGAATCCCTGATTTCTGTATGCCTTTTGGGTGTACTTTGCAACATGTTTCCTGTTTATGACAGTTTATTTATAGCACAAAGTGTTTGCTTTACCTGACATTGCAGTATACAAGGCTTGTATTGATGTGCCTTCAATCAACATTGCTCAATTAAAAGTAGCATTGCCCCTAACAATGGAATGGGTTTCAATTGCACACAGCTCATCAGTACTTATTGTGCGTCTCATTTCACCAGAACTTTTATATTGTGCATGTAGATAATTGTGTACAAATATAGTTACTTCCTCACTGCAATTGGGGTGTTTTTTTTTCAATATGAGTGACAGTTTCACAGAATCAAAGACTTTGTGGTTTAAGAAAACATTATTGTTATCTTTTGAAATGATAAATATAGATGCAAAACAAGATGCAACTTGGACTATAACATTTGAATACAATAGAAGAGTAAAAAAAACTCTCAGAGTTGAGGTATTTTTCCTTAGGGTTTTTCTGTTACTCCAAAGCCAACTGTCTGTGGACATATATGAAAGTGGAACACCAAGACAAAGATCAAAAGGGTCGTTCAGTTTTTCATCATGCTTCCTTAAAGTTTAGTTAAAGCTTGAATTCTTACCATTAGAATTCAAAAAGAAACCAAAACGTACATGACACATTCTCTTAAACTGATAAAAATCTAGCTTGATTCAGTGTAGGCTATACAGATTCCTGTATGCAGGGGAGATCTAGAGCAATGTTTGTTTGCACTCAGTACCTTATACTTATTAGCTCTCAACCAGGAAATGTCCTTGTGCATTTACTTTCTGTTTTGTTTCCCTGAAATAATATACCTAAAAAAAGATACGGTACTTGCCTGCATATTATTTCTTTTTTATCTCCTTATCGTGAATCATAGTGAAACGCATTTCTTCACTCTAAGTTATTTTGTCAAAACATATGATCATATTCCTATAAATATTTCAGATTTTGTTTGTCTTCCTCGTGAATGTTAAGAACTAATATAACTTAAGTTTGTATAATTTCAAATTATTTAGTCAGATGGTTTATTTTTAGTAACAGAAATTTCATTTCTCGTACTGTGTAATTTTCAGTTTAAATACAGATATATGTTCAATATATATCTAAAAGACCCATGGCTATAAGTTCTTGTGTGTGCAAGTTGTGATTCTGTAAAATTATCCATGAACTTGCAGTCACATGTAACAATTTTGATGGCCATTTCGTACTCATTTCACCATTCATCCAGGTTACATGAATGGGATAATCATGGCACTTGTGCAGCTAGTCTTCCTGTTCTGCACGGTGAGCACAACTATTTTGACAAAACGCTCCAACTGAAGCAACAACATAACATTGACAAGTAAGTCACTTACTTTGACACCACTCACTTGTTTTACATAGTACATAACAAGAGTTCTGTCACCATTATGGAATCATGGGGTTATGGTGTGGTGGTATCGAATTTTTGGAAGACAGTTAGAGTGGAGCTGTAGTTATAGGGGCCGAATCCTCAAAAATCAACCAAGCAGTTTTGGGGGATTGAGGGAGAATGGCATAGGGTCAGTTGATTTGGAGGATACATTGAGCAAGGTCTTTGACTGTACCCTGCATTGTTTATGTTCAGCCATGCATAATTAAGGCCTACGTTTTACTGAGTACCATCCACATTGCTTTTGGATATCACCCGCACTGCCTCAGTGTTATCCCATAAGGCCATGCAATAAACATGGCTGCCAACGTGACTTACGGCGGGCGGCGATTTTTTTCTCCCAAACGACATCCGCATATAGGTGTACGCTATGGCGTTTTGGGACTTTACTTTTCTAAAAACATGAGAAGAAAATATAAAATTAGGGAAACAAATGAATTCGACCATTATGAAAGTCGGACTTTATTTCCCTTAAAAAAAAATCCTCCGAAGCCTCAGGTTAGAAAAATTTCGGGTACAAAACCGTGATTCGAACCCGCAACCTCGCGGTACAAAATCACGACCCTGTATCGACTGAGCTATCGCACATACAAGTATCGTAGAGGGCGCTAAACAACCATGTATGCGGATGTAGCTTGGGACAAGAAAATTCGCCGGCGGGCGCCTCATCAGGCCGTGTCATAAACGGGCTTCCAGAGCTGCTACGTCTATTGTCAATGGGTGTGGACCTAGACCTAGCTTTAGACAGTTGATTCTGATGCAGCTTTTGTCATGTCAAAGTTCAACTTTATTGCACGAAACTGTACCCGAAACCGTTCGTTTATCTAGCTCCACTGCGCATGTGTGTCATCACGGGAGGAGCCAGGCGCGAGTAAGCTGGGGGAAGTAATCGAACGCACTCAGTATGCAACAGTAATTGTCGGAGGATTTTGAATGATTGAGGCAGTGGTCACCCTTCCGGTGAAGAAATTTAAAAAAAATATTAACAGAGGATTTTGGAGGATTGAGGCTATATCAAATTATTACATGGTAGCAATTGGAAGATTTTGCAGGATTGAGGATGCATCCTAGCCAATTAAAGGCTCTAGGCTGTTAGGGTAATTATGTCAAAAGCTATCATGACCATCAATAAACATTCTGGATAAACAATCTTGGATGTGGTAGATTGGGTGGGGGAGGGGATGGAGGAAGTCAGATGCAAAGATAAGTGGCTGTCGTTATCCAACCCTCACAGGTGCTAAACTAATAGACCTTTATCATGCTGCCACCATTTCAGTCATGTTCCCTGTATCCAATAGCAGTACTGAATGATAATGTTTTTGTGCAAAAAGAAATCAGACTATTTTTCCTTCCAGCCTCGCTTTGGTTACGTTGATTTGAATGGGCAAAAATCAAGATGGCCGCGACATGGTCTATGATTCTCTACTTCAATTTATATCATCACAAGTGTATTCTCATTGTTTGCCTTTCATCATATCATGTCCAGGATCCTGAGCAGCAGTGGCATCATTCCATCATCGACTGTCAAATATACTCGGGAAAAAATCCTGGAGTCTGTCAAGAATGCTACCGGGGGCATGCCAAATCTTATTTGTTTCCAAGAGAATGTAAGAATCCAAGCAATGTCAAGTGAGACTGATCAAGTAGGGCACTGTTCGTTATTTAATGTGAGTCATGTGATACAGTGGTTATTTTTGGTGATGGTATAACCATTTCCAATCTTCAGTTTCCATCACATTGTCAATAAACACAATCAAGGACATTAAAAAATCCATAAACAAATCAAGAACTTGTTTGTTTTTCTCCTTTACCCAGCGTAGCCTTGTTATATTTCATTGGTATTAAAGAAGGTTGGAATTGAGATGATTTGTGTAACGGTTATTATATTTATAAGAGCAAAATAAATTTAATCGGTAATAGCAGTCTGCAGTATTTTCATCTTTCTTAAAGTTGGTCCGATCCTGACTTGAGTTAAGAGAATAATCTGTTTAATTTGTATTTATGCATTGGAGAAAAAAGGTTATTTGTTTTCTTAAGATCACTCATGAGTTTATGTGCCTATGAACAATGGGCATTACATAGTTTATGTTTGTTGAGGGGCTTTCCCAATATTCGTACAACCTGTTAACATATGACGTTCTTTTCCTTTCATTCAGCATGAACAGAGTGGCTCTGACTTCAAGCAATACCTGCAGGAGATCAGAATGTGCTTGGATAAATCCCTGCAACCATTTGATTGTCCTGAATCGGAATGTATGCACTTGACAATGGCATACAGCAGCCCTTGCTCATCCAAGACACCCATTGCATTGCCACCACTCACAACAGGGAATACAGTGGTGTAGTAAATGCCGAGTCAAGCAGTAGGCCTTTTAAAGGCATATAGGATTAGGATCACTTGCATTCATCCCACAATTAACCTTCCGAGTTATTAACAAAAAGCTTTAAAAGATTGTACTGGAACTAAACACCCTGTGAAATTATTACGTCTGGCTTCTTGTCATTCAGATGAAATCAAGAAATGCAAGTCATTTCCAACGATCAGTCCATTGACTGATTTTTGGAAGCAGAGTGTTAAATAATTAAGAGTGTTAAATAAAGAGAGCTAAACTTTTGGAAATTAAGAATACTCGAAAAGTGTAATACCCACTTAGCTGAATATTCAACAGGTTAGGTTTTGAACATTCTTCTTCGGGTTTTGAATGGCGTGATTATTGGAAACGAACAAAGTGAGTGATAAGCAAATGATCTTGTATGCCTATAAACTATCCAAAATCTCTGTGTTGGACCCAGCTAGCTTGAACCCTGCGGTTTTGGAAACCCCTTTTACTTTTTACTCTATCATGAAATCTACACTGCTTCTATATAGTGCTCTAGACGGAAACTGTGCAGCCCTGATAGGGCAGGGATTGAGAGGCTCTATTTACCCAGGTAGAAAATGGAAAACGTACGCGACCAACCCGTCTGTTGAAAATTGTAAGGTGTTCCATCTGCGCCAGGTCTGCTTAAAGGGAATATACATCATTTGCTTTTGCTGTAATTTTCAGAAATGGATGGAATTGGGGGGTTGAAAATATATAGCAAATATAGTTACACTGACTTTTTTGAGGTTTTGGGTTCAAAAATGCTATAAAAACCAAGAAAAACAATCATTTTCCTGTAGTCTGGTTCCCTGACTCCATTTAAGAAGAAACAGAGCAGTTTACATACATTGGGGAATTGTAAGGTCAGGGAACCAGTCTAGCTGGCTTGTACCCGTTCATAGGTGTGTAATCGATTGCAAACAAGTGCGATGGTCAACTGGGGCCAGTATTTGAAAAAAAGCCAGTTTTTTCCCAACGCTGATCGGCCACTTTTCTTGAAAATGACAGTATACCAGGTGCCATGATTTTACAGGATGCTTTACACTGTCATTCACTAACTGAGCCCAGCAAGGTATTTCAAAATGATTTGGTAGTTTTATTTTTTGATGTTAGCAAATGTTGTATTTTCCCTTTAAAGTGGATCTGAGTGGAATTCAACATGGGTAGCCGATAGTTTGAAAAGGCCAATATTAATATGAGCCAGTACGTGTATTATGGTTTTCACATACCTTTTTTCAAGAAAAAAGGAGCTTATTGATTTATGACGACGAGGAATGCATCCAAGATATCAATGGAAAGCTTACTGCCCCTAGTTTATGATCAAAAGTTCACAGCTGTTCATATTATCCCTTTGTTGGTGAGTTACCATTTTGGAGGACATCTGTATTGTATAGTGTACGCAAAATGTGTTAATGTGGTATGGTAACTCTGCTGAGAATTGGCCCTAAACTTTCTTTGTATACTGAAGTGTTTGTAATTTTGACAATCAGTTTTGTCATTCTTGTAGAGCAATGGGTGACATCACACAATAACTTGTAAGAAATAAAATTTACATTTATTGATGACTTATTAGTCAAGTGGTCAAGACAATGTCCTTTTTGTACATTCTTCATATACTGTAAACATTTACCCACAAAAGCACTGAAAAATGAATGTTATAAATTGTTTCCACTGATACATAGCTCAATTTTACAGTATGGTGCAAAGATCAGACAATCAGCATACAATCTTTTAGTATTTTCTACTTTCCTGAATATTGTTTTTGATGTCATTGGTTCAAAGGCTGGGGTTGATTTTTTTTTTTTTTGGGGGGGGGGATTCTTGTTATGTTTCGGTTTATGTTATTTGTTGTATGTTATTGCAATCAAGTTTAGCTGGTGGTACATTCCAAACCTTTCATGTCATTAATTATGGGCTCGAATCCTGCTGAAGATATCTGGAATAAGTCTCGGGAACATTACAAATTGGCTTTCTTTCCTTGTTTTCTAATATTTTTTTCTGCTTTTCCAGAGGAGGCAAGCGACGCCCATGTTCATTAGACATTATTAGAAACAGTTGACTGTTCTTGTTTTGGTTATTAATGCTAAATGACCCGTGACCTTCGGGAAGCGATATTTAAGCGGGTTCCTAGATCGAGGCCTATGTATTTTAATGTAAACTCTTCAATCTGATGGTGCCACACTATTTATTTCAATTGTAGGGTATAGGCCTACAATCCTGGCCAAATCTCGCTGGGCCCCATTCCCCCGGGCTAGTCTGGACACTTGACCTCCGTAAAATCAAAGCTTTCAATTTGACACTGTGGCTGACTCGTTTTTTAAATAATAACGCTTTCTAATTAAAACATTTGCAAATATTTTAATTAGGAAATTTTCACCCGAGACGTCGTATGATTCCGGCCGCGCAAATTATCAAATCTGTAAACATACGAATATCCGCCAGCCAGAAGTTATAAGCAGGGAAATTGAACAAAGTATATTATGCAAGATAGATTAATTATATGACATTCCACATAATCAGGAATGTATATAAGAGCAATAAATGAAGGAACCCAATTAATAAATCGAAATAACAATCTCAAACTAACCATATAAATATTTACAATACATGCTATGGAATGAATTCACATATCGGATCTCGAAAAATTTCAGAAAATAATAACACAAAAATTCAGTGGAATTCTTAGACAGTCAGTGTGAAAAATGCAAGGCAACGAAAAGAGTGAAATCAATGAATGAATGGAAATAAAAATCTTGAACTGTACAAATGTTTATATGTCGAACAAGGAAGGGAAAAGATCCACACGAATCTGGAAAGACTGAAGGAGATATATAGGGGCCTTACTCAATGGATCAGTTAGACAGTCAATACAAAATAAACAGATTAATAGGTAAAAGTAATGCAAAGAACGAAACCCAATGAATAAACGGGGAAACATCTTTAACAATAAAAACATAATTAATACTCAATTGCACCGGCGAAATTTCACGGTTTTCTTCTCTCTTTTTTAGTACCGTACACAGACTGGCAACAAGTCTAGTAGTACATCATGGCGGCGCGGAGAATTGGCCGACTCTGTTCGTTGCTCTATGGCCACTAGTGATCATTCAGTCTCAGAATAGTTTTGCTTGACCGAACTATACTTGGTCTAATACTTAAATTTGCTTAAACACCAGATACTTAATTTGGTACAACTATCCAATTTAATTTTTGGGGCCTTCCATTAGTAAATAGTAACGAAAATAGTCCTTGTTTTACCGGCCGTGCCATGTTATGTTCGTGAACGAGACAGTATTTTACCGGATTTACAAATGCGATACCGAAATTGAAATTCCTAGTTTCGGCGCACCGAATTTACAAATCCGTTGATTCCTAGTTACGCTGCACCATGTCCATTGATCTCCTATCAATGAGCTTGACCCGTTGACCTCGTCACACGCAGTTAAAGTGGGGCAGTCGCTACAAAGGTTTTTGTATACGTACGTGTATGTTTCTGCCTTGTAAACTGACCCCGCATTATCCCACCAGTACAGTCCATAGAGCTATATTACTACTAGAGCGCTAACTTCGTGTACAAAGTAATGCCTGCTGGGTGCATCCATGTTTGTGCACAAACCTATGGAGACCTAGACATTTTGTACGGCTTTTGTACAGCTATTTGCACATAATTTAATATAGCTCTATGGTACAGTCTGACTACGGAGAAATACAAATTTCTCAACGGTGAATACAAACAACATGTCTGAAAACGCCGTACCGTCACAGACTTTGACGGAGTACTGTAACAGTTTAGACTACTACAACGTGAATTTTGATGTGTATAATCGTGTGAGTCAAAGGATTAACAGATTTTCAGATTGGATAGACAAAAGCCTACCCAAACTTGCGGACTCAATGGAGATTTCCCTGCCTGCGACTGGCACATTAAACGTGCTTAGTGTGGGCGCTGGGAATGGTAAGTACAACTGAATTAGTACAAACTACAATATGTTTACTGCATCCCCAACTGCCCAGTTTATCCTGCAGGGGTTGACTATTTATGGTTAAATTTGACCACATGATTTTGAAGTGATGTACAATATTGACACTTTGCGTACATCAGCCATCTTGGAGGTCTTTGTAATGTTATTCGCTGACGAGCAGCCACAAATGTCTAGTTAAACTAGAGTAACTTCACACAAGACACGATCATTTCAGAACAAGCTGGTGAACCCCGAAAGGTCAACTTTAATGTAACCAACAGAGGGCGGTGTTCAGTTTTAGAAATACATCACATCTCCCCCATACAAATTAAGTAAACATTAAACAAGTTGAACTTTGGGAACTTACATGTACATGTAGGAAACAAACAATAAGCTTGAGCAAAGTGTTACTGAACTTTATAAGGGAATACTGCAAAATGTGATTTACAAAAGGGAGGATTAGAGAACAATGGAAGGTGTTTGAATCAAGCAAATTTGAAAAAAGCACAAGCGTTTGTACATGAATTTAGACCATCTTGAAAAGCCACAAATCTGTTATTTACTGTCCATGCAATTTGGTGTACAACTTCAGCTTACAGGTCAAGTTTTTGAGTTGGTCTTACTACCCTGCCACTTCTAGTAGTAGTAGTCTGACCTACAGTCACGCTATCATATTTTACACTATGTTGTTTTGTCTCACTTGGTTCTTCAGGTTCTGCAGTCTGATGGATATTTTCATTCTGTGTGCTAGGAGAGACTAGGTTGGGCTGAGACAATGAATTCCCTTCAATGTCAGCATGTTCTTTGGAGTGAACAATGTGACGCCTATTTCTTCTATACACCTGTCCAGTTGGTGTCGCAACCATATAGCTTCTAGGGTTATCATGTTTTTCTGTCACCTTCCCTAACACCCATTGGCTGTGCGGATTTTGGAATCTAACTTGTTCCCCAGTGTGTAGTGTGCGCTTTGGCTTACTACATTTTGCGTCATAGTAGTGTTTTTGCACAGTCTGTCTCTCTTTGAGTTTGGCTTTCATGGGTGGGACTACTTGTGGTTGAAGAAGAGTCGATGAAGTGGGAAGTCGGCTTTTGAGCAAGCGACTATTGAGTAATTGTGCTGGTGCATAACCCTCTGTGCCATCGAGGGGCGTGTTGCGATATTCCAGCAGTGCCATATAAGGGTCCCTGCCAGACACCTTAGCCTTTTTCATGAGTGTTTTCACTGTTTGAATACAGCGCTCGGCTTGCCCGTTGCTTTGTGGGTACCTGGGGCTAGACGTGACATGCCTGAACTCCCACATGTTTTGGAAAGTTCTGAAGTCTTCGCATACAAATTGGCTTGCATTATCAGTAATCAACAGATCTGGTGTACCGGAGCGGGCAAATATAATTTTCAATTCATGTATGACCGAATGGGCTGTGAGATCTTGCAAGGCCTGTACTTCTGGAAATTTGGAGTAGTAGTCAACTACAAGCAGATAGTTCACTCCTCCTAAGTGGAACACATCTGCACCTAGTTTAGACCATGGTCTGTCAGGTATGTCATGTTGTATCATTGGTTCAGCAGGTTGAGTTTTCCTACTTGACTGACAGATAGCACACTTGGCTACCGTGTCTTCAATTTGCGAATTCATGCCCGGCCAGTATAAGATGGCTCGTGCTCTCTGTTTGAGTTTCACTATCCCTAGGTGAGACTCATGGATTTTCTTAAGCATGTCCTTCTGCATGCTTCGCGGAACTACAACCCGGTTGCCAAGAAAAAGAATGCCATCACAGAACACTAATTCATTGTGGACTGCATAGTATGGGCCAACATCACTTGTCAAGTGGTGTTTATCAACAGGCCAGCCATTCATAATGTGACCTTTGACCTTCGCAAGTGTGGGGTCCGCGGCTGTTTCTTCACGGAATTGCTGCAATCGTAACTCAGTAATTGGGAGTTGTCTTAAAATCATGTTGATTTCCCGCGAGTCATCAAACTCTGAGATGTTGTCGCCTCTGCTATTTATTATGCGGCTTAACGCATCTGGCACAAACATTGTGTTACCTGGTTGCCATTGTACACTGAGGTCATATCTCAGTAGGTGCATGCGCATACGCTGCAATCGTGGGCTCAACTTATGCAATGGCTTTTGGAACACTCCTACCAATGGCTTATGATCTGTGATCACTGTTGTCTGTTTTCCAAAGATATAGTCATGGAATTTGTGGCACGCAAAGAGAATGGCGCACATCTCCTTTTCAATAGTCGCGTAATTTTTTTCAGCAGGACTAGTACTACGCGATGCATATGCCACTGGTCTGTTATTATCTTGCATCAATACAGATCCAAACCCATGCTTGGATGCATCAGTGGCCAAGCTGACCGGCTTATTCACATCATATAACATCAGTACTGGTGCTGATGTTATAATATGCTTGAGTGTTTCCACGGCTTTTGTGTGTTTTTCATCCCAGTGCCAAGCTATTTGCTTTTCGGTAAGCTGTCGCAACGGCGCAGTGATTTCAGAAAGATTGGGAATGAACTTACTAACGTATGTGATCATGCCGAGAAAGGTTTCAAGCTCATGTTTGTTAGTTGGGATTGGCATTTCCAATACAGACTGGATACGCGCTGGACTTGGTGAGAGTCCTTCTGCAGAAATCACATGACCCACATATTCAAGTTTGTCTGTGCCAATGACAGACTTTTTCCTATTGAGTTTAAGTCCTGATTCTCTGACTTTTTCCAGGAACTTAGCTACTCGCTCATCATGCTCAGTTGTGTTTTCCCCCAAACTAGGATATCATCGACAACAATTTCAACCCCTTCAAGTGCCCCAAATTCAGTGACCATGGCGCGCTGCCAAATTTCACTTGCCGACGAAATGCCGAATGGTAGAACCATATATCGAAATCTTCCAAAGGGTGTGTTAAATGTTGTCAAGTACGAGCTTCTTTGTGTGAGAGGAAGTTGCCAATAACCACTTGTAGCGTCAAACTTTGAAAACACCTTAGCCTGTGGCATGCGCGCTGCAACATCTCGGAGGGTGGGCATAGGGTAATGGGCTCTCTTTATGGCATTATTGAGCTCTCGCGGGTCAAGACAAATGCGCACACTGCCATCCGGTTTACCAACTATTGACATGGAACTGACCCAGTCTGTGGGCTCTTCCACACGCGCAATGACCCCAAGTTTTTCCATACGCTCTAATTCAGCCCTCACTTTGTCGCGCAATGTGTAAGGAATAGTGCGTGGAGGGTTCTGAACTGGTGCGGCATCTACATTCAATTCAATCTCATATTCGTGATTTTGCAGTTTCCCTAGCCCTTCATACAAATCATTGTGTTCTGTGAACGTGATGTTGCTATGCACTGGCACATTTTGCGCACTACCACTAACCACTTCATCTACTCTTACTCTCTTAATCAATCCTAGCCTTTGACATGTTTTCAGACCTAAGATAGGTTTTACATTTCCGCTTACCACTTGAAAAACAACTTGTTGTGTGGTGCAACCGGTACCTGTACCAACCTTCAAATTGGCTATGGTCTTTCCTAATGCCTTAATCTTGTGCCCTGAATAGGATTTGAGAGATGCATTACTGGGAAGCAATGCCAGTCCAGTGTTTTTGAAACAGTCTTCTGGTAGAATGTCCGCTTGAGATCCTGAATCAAGCTTGAAGTCCACCTTGTTTCTCCCAATTTGACAGGTTTCAGTCCAGTCGCCTGATTCTTGTCCAGCGATGTAGTCTATCATCAGGTCCTCGAGTTGTTTTCTTGGTTCCTGTAGGTTGACACCGGCAACATCATACTGGGTGTTGTCCTCATCATCATCACTGCTTTCGTTGACTTCCCTGACCATCTTTGGTCGCGACTTGTGTTGGGCTTTGCATATTCTCGATTTGCTGAAATGTCCAACTTTATGGCACGAGTTGCACTGCTCATACTTTGCAGGACAGCGGTTTGTGAAGTGTACGTAAGTACAGAAGTCACACCGTGACTTTGTCCCATTTTCTGCGTTGTTATTTGACATTTCCTTGCGACTTGCAGCTCTGGTCGGAAGTCTGGCTTTAGTGGACGTCACCCGGTTAACCTCCTGTCTTTGCTGGGTCAAATCCAGTTCAGCCTGTAGGGCTTTCACATGTGTGGCGCTCATTTCACTGACCTGGCAGATATTGATGCACTTTTCCAGAGTCAAATTATCTTCCTGAAGCAGTTTTTCTCGTGTTTTTGTGTCCTTTACACCACACACAACTCTGTCTCGAAGGAGGGAATTCTCAATGTCACCAAATTCACATTCCCTCACCAGGCATTTCACGTTTGTCAAGTATGTGTCGAACGGCTCATCCACTTTCTGGTTTCTCGAGTTGAACATGTATCGCAGTACTGACAGGTTTCTCTTGGGTTCACAGTATTGTTTGAACTTGGCTTTAAGTACTTGCAGTTTGTCCTTCTCATCGTCCGCGAACGTCAGTGTCGCATATACACGCTGTGTCGCTGGGCCCGCCACGTGCAGAAACGTTGCACACTGCACTGGCTCCGGTTTCTTCTGCAGTTCCGTTGCCATAGCGTACAGTTCAAATGAACGCACCCATTCCTTCCAGTTTTTCGCCAAGTTCCCTTCCAGCTGCAACTGTCCCGGTGGTTTCAGGCCTGACATTGCAACTTTTATGATCCGTTTTCTGACACCATGTAATGTTATTCGCTGACGAGCAGCCACAAATGTCTAGTTAAACTAGAGTAACTTCACACAAGACACGATCATTTCAGAACAAGCTGGTGAACCCCGAAAGGTCAACTTTAATGTAACCAACAGAGGGCGGTGTTCAGTTTTAGAAATACATCACAGTCTTTCTTTCTTTTTCAATTCAGAATAAAAATGAATGCATTAAATATGTCTGCTAACGATGTCCATCTACAATCTAGAACAAAAGCACGTAGCTCAAAATATGGCTACTACGTACTAGTACTATGCAAAGGCTCAGTACCTCCGTACATCAGCAATGTGCTCTTACGTACCTTAATAGGGCCTAGTACATCAGTACCTCAGTACTTTAGCAATGAGCTCTTATGGGCCTTGTAAGCAAACATACATTCCTCATGGGAACAGCAAAACACTGAACATTAAAGAAAAACATTTGGACCCCGGATGTCATGACCTGAATTGTAAACAGGGCAGAGGTCATGACATCCAAGCCAACAGTGTGATGAGGGCGCTGTTCCATTGTAATTACTGTACCATCAGTACATCAGCCCATGGAGCAAGGAAAACGTGAGCTCTTGGGCCTTATGTACGAGTTACTCATTTTTGTCGAGTTCCCTGAAAGTATTTCATAACTGTTGATTGGATGGCGCCAGACTATGCAGGCTTACTTCTCATTTTTTTTATTATTATTCTGGCTTAAGAAAATTAGGGAATGTTGGATTACAAATTTTAAATTATTAATTGAAGCAGACTTGAATTACTAAGTAATTTACTTGCTTTCGTTTGTCTTCGCAAGTTCCAAAATGAAGATTTTACCTCACTCTCAATTTAATATGGCCGGCTCGTGCATAAGGCCCATAAGGTTGCAGATCAGTTAATAAAATGCCACAGACCCCACTGATAAATGTCCCCACTTCAGAAATTCGAGAGAAAAAATACCCACAACTCTCCAAGGTGTTCGAGACACACATCAAAGTAAAGCTTTTTTCATCATCTTTCATTTTCTTTTCAATTTTTTTGGGGTAATCTGATGACTTTTAGGAGATATTCGATCACCCCTTTGAATAATCTTAAAGCCCATCGCCATTTTGAAAAACGGTGCATACACTCCATTTGAAAATAGAACACTTTTAGGGCCCCAATTTCATCCAAATTTCACTGAAACACATGTACGGCTTCCACCCATATTTTTTTACACACCCTCAAGTTCATGGCCCAAAATATGCTCAAATATTGAAGAATTTGAGGACATGCAAATTGTGATTTGGCCGGCGTAGGCAATTTCGGACCGATTTACTGGCCTGCAACCTTTAAACAAGTGCGACGTTTTGAAAAATTCTTCAAAACCGCTTGTACGGCATGGGGAAGGATGGATAACTCATATTTAAAAAATGCGGCTGCCTTGCTGTAGGGCGCCCCCGGCGGGAGCTAATTGAGTTCCAGCTCCTTCCAACCCCTATAATCCCCGCCCCCTTTTTCGCTTAATATTGCTGTAATATCGGTTGACGGTCTATCAGCCCCCTTCAGATTTGGGAGCAAATTCTTGAGGAACCACCATTGGAGACCCCTATTTAAAACGCTGCCCCCAGGTCACGCTGCCCCCAGGTCACGCCCCCCCCAAAAAAAAATGTCTTGGCAGTTATAGCGCATGGGCACCCCGCCATTTTGGTAACGAACCATACAGGTTGCAGACCAGTAAATAAACTGCCGAATTCAGGAAAAATACTCACAACTCTCCAAGGTGTTCGAGACACACATCAAATTAAAGCTTATTACATCATCTTTCATTTTCTTTTCGATTTTTTTTTGGGGGGGGGGTATCTAATGACTTTTAGGAGAAATTTCCATCCGAAGATGATCACCCCTTAAAATAGTCCTGAAGCCTATCGCCATTTTGAAAAACGGTGCATACACTCCATTTGAAAATAGAGCACTTTTAGGGCCCTAATTTCATCCAAATTTCACTAAACACAAGCTCACAGTCCTGTGCACGGCTTACGCCCATATTGTTTTACAAAACCTCAATTTCATGGCCCACAATATGCTCAAATATTAACGAATTTGAGGGCATGCAAATCGTGATTTGGACGGCGTAGGCAATTTCGGACCAATTTACTGGCCTGCAACCATGAGCACCCGAAAATGAACACTGTCCTCGTACATAAATTTGTGAACATGTCTATGACCACATTACCTTTGGGTTTTTTAACAGTAGGCCTACCGGTATTGTTCCTCAGTATTTTGTACATGACTACGTATTCAGCACTAGCGTCATCGATGGTGAATAGTATTATCTGCTGTGAAGTTGTCTCACGGAATCACTCGCGAGATTTCGAAATGAAATGGAAAGATTTACAAACTTTTCTGTTTAAAGTTTAATCTTGATTAATATGAGAACTTGCGAGCGAGAGATTACGTGCCCTCCGTTCTCTCCCTTTTGTCTACGTTTAGGGTTAACTGATCGTCCATTTCTTTCCTGTAATTTGAGGTCTTGAATGCTATACCAGACGCCACATCACTGTAAATTATGCCCGGGCATGCGCAACTGGAATCTCACGTAATCTCTCGCTCGCACTTTCTCTTGAAATCAAGATTAAATTTCAAACAGGTAAGTTCTCGTTTAATCTTGTCATTTACCTTGAATTCGAGACCCGTCATTTGTTGGAAAACACTTAGGGAGGAAAGTTGGAGGGAGCCTTGTGTGTTGCCTATGGCTTCCCATATTCCTTAGGACCCAGGACCTTCCATCCACAACCTACATCCCTACGTTTGCATAGTGATCCATCCAGACTGAATTAAAACGAGACGCATCTTTACCTTCAACAGGCACGATCGACAGCAGAATCCTACCTCACCTTCGGGACAAGGTACATCCTAACGTACGAGCTATCTTCCTTGAGCCTGACCTTCACACGTTTCAACAGTGCCAAAACCTGGTCGGCAAGGAATCTCCTAGGCTACAAGGTATAGAGTTTGACTGGAGACAGCAGACATTCCAGGAGTATCGATCAACCGCCAAGGAAGAAGACAAGTTTCATTTTATCTGCTGCTTCAACTCCATCTACTACACGGGAGATATGGGGAGTTCCCTCAGATATCTCTACGATAAGCTGCACAGTGGGGGTATTCTTCTAATCACACTAGTTGATGGTAATTTATCAAATTAGGTTTTGCCCTTCACCGACGTTCAAACACTGTATACTAAGTGTGTTACCTCCCGAGTGAAAGGTGGAGAAAAAAGATCACTCGGGTGATCGACCTCCTGCTTTCTAGTGCAGATGTCTTACCACTCGACCACCGAGCTACCATAATAATGGTAATTTATGTTGATTATTTTGGCAGTGAGAACAATCAAGCGTTGGGAATATTTGTAGATGAATAGATGGCATTTCAGAAAAGATATGTAAAATTCAATTTACTGGCAATAAACATCACAGCAGGAATCTCTGGCTACTACTTTTGTTCTGGAAGCACCATTTTCTTTAACTAACGTGATTTCAAAACCTGAGAAGTGTGATGGGTCTTAAAAAGATAATTTTAATTATTATAGTACATTTAACAAAATAAACAATAAGGCGAGTTTCTCATTAGATAAGTCTGTATATGCATTAAAACTCAACAAGCACGGCTCTTTGTATGTATTTTTTTTTCATTTGAATTTTTCAGGTAAATCAGGGGGCGGGCAATTTTGGCAGTTCCTCAACACATCCCTTGGCCAAGAGAAAGACTTCTTCACATCTTTTGATTTGGAGGAGGCATGCAGGAAGCAGAACATTATGATTTCAGAGGTCCAGCCGATTGGGATCTACGTGAACGTCTCATGCTGCTTCGATCCTCCCCAAGAGCTTACCGAGGACGGGAGATACCTTCTAGATACCATCACTCGATCGGTCAACTTCGCCCAGACTGCAGCGGCTGAGCTTCGGAAGGATGTGCTTCGGTTCTTGAGGAGTGATACTTGCTCGTCGATAACCGCGGACGGGCAGGTAATCTTGGATGGGAGTAACTCCGCTTACATCATACGTAGACCATGACCAACTGGGCGTTAAATGAGTTTCCTTCTCTCTTGACTTAGAAAACTCAGGGAATTTTTGAGAAACACCAATAATCAGGAAAAACTCAGGGAATTTGACAGTGACCCCGCACCAGGTTGGGAGGCCAACATTTTCTTGAATTTGATTTTTCTCTTTCTGAAAACGCTTGAAGTGGTTTACAACTTTAGATTAATTAACTGAAAAACAAATAATTTATTGTGCATATTTTACACAAAACAAATATCAAATTGATTGCTGTTCATGTAAACTACCATAGCAAAGTACAATGTACCGGTATGCTATAAGTGCTGAAGCTGGAAAATGAAGCTGTTTTTACAGGGTCAATTGGTTTAATGGCCTGCGTGTGTTTTTCTTTAGCGATGATTAGTCAAAGGCTGCTTAAAAAAAGAAAAGACACAAATTATCAGAATCTTGGTGACAGCAAGCACATGTGTTGAATAATTCACAAGTACCAGTACTACGGACATAACAGGCTAAACGCGTATACTGCCAGATCTTTTCAAAACTACATGAGCATTTCGTGATCTGCGCGGCGCCCGACTAAAATCAAAACTATGGGCAAAATTCACCTCTCGGTATACGGAATTTACACAGAGTTGAAGAAATCCAGTCTTAAATTCTATGAAGTTATTTTTCGATTGTAAAATAAATCCTTTGTGTACTACATCTGGTTTACATGCCGATTTTGAGCAATAAAGCATTTTAAAAAACAAAACGAACGTAATTATAAACATCAGAATACAATACGGGTTTTAAAACCTCTTTCCCAGTGTATGTGTCAAGCAGAACGCTCCCACCACTACCTGCTCTCCCACCTTGGGGCGTATTTTCGCGACCGTGACCAAAAAAAAAATGTTTGTGACGTCAAATGGATAACCAGAAACATGTTTGCACATGCACACAAAAACGCTGGTCGCTGGACCGAAAACAGTGTCAACAAGTTGTAAACAATCATGGAGGAGGGTGTAAATGGGATGGCCATTCTTATATAAACATTTTATTACAGGCCACTTAAAATGCACAAACTTACGATGTACGTATATTACAAGCCTATTTTTCCCAACACTGTTTTGTTAAAATTTATGTCGTGTATTTACCTTTCCGACATCTTGAAATGTACTCCGAAACCGACCCTTGGCCTTTGTTCGGTTTTGGTCGGAGCAGTGACGTCACTCCAGCCAACCGAAGTCACGAAAACGCTCAACCAATGACCAAAGCCAAAACATATGTTTCTGGTCACGGTCTCGAAAACACGCCCTGGTATTGGATCATTTGCATATCCAACAATTGTGGATACGTATGCAAATGAGGAATAGTCTGATGCCTGGTGAAAACAGAATAAATTCGTTGCATCGTGAGTTATGCAGTATCACATTTCATATTAATATGAGCAAATTGGAAAGGAAAGGATTATTTTTTGGGAAGGTGTGTACGTACGGTACGTTACTATTGGAAACGAGGTTGAAAATAAAGAAAGCCTTGGGACGAGGTTGGGGTTTTAACGTAAGCACATTACACACTAGCCGCATTGCATGTTTATAATTGTAGTGAGGGTTCCTGTTCATTAGTGTTAACTGGGAGGGCTACCCTTATAAAATATGGTTTTAATTATATAGGTATTACTGGAATAATTGAATAATTTCTTTAAGTCTTCAGCCATGATTTCAATGTTCTGTGTACAATTATAAAACTATCTCCTTTATCAAGTATACTTAATCTGCTTGTTTAACTACATGTACTTTACAACAAGTCTGCACGTTTAAGTGTCTATATTTTTAGACTGAGTCTCACAAATACATCAACTTTTTACAAAATGTCAAAAGAATTATTTACAATGTGTTTTTTTGATATCTGAAATGAGTTTGAAAACCGTACCTTCAAAGACGGAACCATTTTCTGGACAAGAGTGTATGAGATAATTTTTAACATACATGTACATGTACTATGATAAATACAGATCAGGAACTTGAAGCTCTTGTAAATCTATTTTTATTTCAGCCATTTTGTTATGGAATACATGTACCGTGGAATGCTCTTCTCTATCGATTTCAAACCTCCATTACCAGTTGTTAAATAAATACCTACTATTATTGTCAACAGGGCCCGTTTTTTAATCTAGTAGAAATGTTTACCGGGGCTGATATAATCTCCTTTTCCTTTCAAATCCTGTGGTACCTTCCAGCTCGAGTTCGCTCCTTCTCAATCCGATCCAGCACTTTCTTTTCTTGTTCTTTTTGCTGTAAAAGAAGTTGCACAAGAGGCGCAGAATGATTAGTGCTCAAATTTAAAGCACAATTGAAAATGTCTATACAAATCCGCATCTTCCTGCATGCAATGTGGCCTGTAGCATCAATTTCTGCAGGTAACTGCGCATACCGTTATTCTTTGTTTCTGTCCATGACGCACAAAGCGGGGCGTGTAAAATGGGGACAAACCACGAGGGATTAAAGAGGGGACAGAACAATGGAGGTGAAGAGTAAGGGAAGAATATACTTTTTAGATTGAAGTAAACTTGCTAAATTGCTTCGAAAAAAGTGTAATATTTCTACTTTTTGTCAAGAAAAGTAGAGTGCCCTCATTCTTTCAAACGTGGCCATTCTACTAGTCTCCTTACCTGTTTGAGTTGTTTTTGTCTCTCTGCAATCATCTCCTCCTTGGACAAGACCCGCCGCCTGCCCCTTATCTTCTGCTCCTTCTTGAGCTGCCAGGCGATCAGGCTGCTCGCAATGGCCGACAGCACGCTGAAGGCGCAGGCTACTGCCGTGGTAGACAGCGCCACCATGACCAGAGAGTCCATGGAGTCCTTCATGAAGGTCTGACCGTCCGTGGTGTGGTTGACCAGGCCCAGGCGAAGCAGCTGGATGCTGACGATGCAGGCGATCAGGCTGACCACCGAGGAAGCAGTGAAGCACAGAATCTGTCGAGGAGATAACAGGACGAATTTTAGCGCACCTTTTTCACATTCCAACCTTCAAAGGGCGTCTCTTATTCAGAATTTGGCACCATTATCTCAACATAATCTGATTCCAAATGAAGTCACCAACTTCCGCCATAACAGTGAACATGTAGAACATAGGCCATATACCTTTTGAATGTATAAATATGTTGATTAAACGAAAATTACAAACAAAGTGTTTAAATGTATCATGTTTAAATAATTCCTATACTTTAGGACGATGTTTCCGTCCACATTCAACATGGTGGGACGACCAGTGCGTGGTGTCAGTGTGTTTGTACGGCGTGCAAGGACCGGTTACATCAAAAACGCGTCGACAGGTACACACCGGTGTATACACGGGATATAAGAGCTCCAAAATGCGAACAATATCTGTTTTTTTTCCTGTTGTGGTTGTTTTACAACATTAGATCAAGACTCCGTTTCAAAACAATCATTTATCATTTAAAGATAATTGTACATGTATATGCAAATAATTCCTTCTGTACGTAACTAATAATGTCATCAAAATTTTGAACTTATAAAAGTAGATCCTGAAAGACTATTTTGGAGTCCCTCCTCCTGCAGTCTTGTGGAAAGGTCCGTAGGTGTTTAGGAATCATTGTGAGTAGCTTTAAGCTCCTACGTTAGCGTTCATCGTACAAAAATAATATCCCGAAGGAATAACACGCGTTTATGTCCCAAGTCAGGTGTGGCGTAATAATTCGATGATAATGAGCATCTGACGCGACATGAAAGCATTTTTGAATATGGATTAAGGAAACACTTGTCTGACAGAAATCTCAGAATGCAGAATAAATCCCTCGAAGGCAATAAAGCAGTGAGTGGAGCATTCATTGGTCTAGTTTTTGTCCGTCGGAAAAAAAGAAGGTAAGTCATTACAATTTAACAATCAGGCTGCAGGCTTATTCCTCCATTTCCGTCCGTGTCCAAACGCATACGCAATCGAGTCAAGCTTGACAATTAATACCAATGCTTTGGTATTTCTAAATTGAAGTTTCAAAAGTATACAATGGTGAAACGACTTACCCCGTACGCAGTCTTGCTCTTCGCTGAAGCGATGCCAAATCCACCACATACAACAACCTACAATTATTATCAATCAAAACATATTTTAATGCTTTTAGAAAATGGTCCTTGTATTTTGTATGGCCTAATTTCTCTGTCACTGCTGTTTTTGAAATTTGCCGTCACTGTTTTTGTGGCCCAGTTTGTTCCCTTCTTAATTAGCAGGTCTTCGGGAAGTGGGAAGAAAAGCGTTCGCCTTTGACAAAATTGATACCCCAACAAGAAATTGAAGGCAATTAAAAATGTTACACAGTGTGAAATACATCCGTTTAAATAATACACATGTAGCTCATTACATCATACAAAATCGCAACAAAATGAGATGTGAGTTTAGTTTAACAGTTTGAAAGTGCATGCATCATTAAGAGTGCACATGAACCCTTTTCACCTATTTATATCTAATCCAGTGTGTCATCGCGAACTTATATGGTTCGCGAAAACCAATCAAATATTTATTGCACTGCCGGGGTAATAATAGAGTTCATCAATAAGTTACATTTTGTGCGACTCTATAGCAAAATGTCGTTTTAGGCTGTTGCAGCTGTATACATGATGGGCGTCGCGAGGGGGGGGGCAAGGGGGCGCTTGCCCCCCCCCCCCCGGAAAAGCCAAAAACAAAAACAAAACAAAAAAAAGAAAGGGAAAAAAAGAAAAGAAAAAGAGGCGCGAGTCATATTGGTGTAAATTTAATGGGTTGGAGGGGGGGGGGGAAATGTCCCTGCCCCCCTCTAAAACTGATAAATCGAGAATATGTTGAGAAATACAGGAATTTTTGGGGGAAAGTATGTTTTGCATCCCTGAGAAAAAAATCCTGGCGACGCACATGGCTGTATACCGTCGATGTGGACAATGGGATGCGATGTAATCCGCATGGAAATTTTTACACCTTTTTTGCAATCATGTTCCTTTTTCACACGTCCCATATCAAATTTCAAAGTGTGATGAAAAAACAGAAAAGTTCTCTTTGCACAACCTTCTCCAAGAATAAGACACGGGGAAATAAAAAGACACATTTGTGTCATATTTAACCTTAATTTCAATTTTCGTTTTGACATTTTCAAGGGTATTTTGGTGCAGTTTAATTTTTATGTTAATACAAATTTACATATGCATGAGCAAAAGTGTGATCTCATTTCAGGCATGAAACCTTAATGTTACAGCTATTTCACATATCAAATGTATATATTTCATATATACATTTTCTTTTCTTTGGTGATTCGTCGTTGTGGCAGTAAGCCATTAAGCAAATTTTTCTCACAAATGTTTTCAATGAGCACATTTGTTGGGTTCAAAATTTGAACAGAAAACCCCTAAACTGAAAAATGTCTTCCTGTAGTGATATCACAGCAACAGCTCTTATTGTTGTCCAGAAAAGCATGGAAATGTTTACATATTTAAAGAAGTGCACTTTTGAAAAATATTAACCAAAATAGTTTTCACACATTTTATGAGGAGTAGAAAGTTGCACAAAATATGTTCCTCAGAAAAATTCATGTCATGAACCCTATAATCACTGTCGGCGAAATATAGTATTCCCACTCGCTTTTGCATTTGGTAACTTAATTTTAAGTGTATATTGTGAAACAGCATCATCAGAAAGGTATTAAGAAATTACGCTTTTAAAATCCGTGCACCCTACGTGCTATAATTTTGGACATCTTGAATTTATCTTTAATCAATAATTGTCCTCGAATAGGCTTGTAGAATATTATCTCAGAACATTTTAAGCGTATAGTCTCGGGAAGATAACGGCCCATTATTAGTCCATATATTCGAAGGGTAGGGTTCATTTAAAGGGAATGTACAACATTTGCTTTTGCTGCAATTTTCAGAAAGAAATGGATTTAGAGGATTAGTTTGTGATAGCAAATATTGTTAAACTGACGTGTTTTCAGGTTTTGGGCAGTTTTGTAGATACTGGAAAAACCAAGAAACCCAATCATGTTCTTGTAGTCTGGTTCCCTGACCCCCTTACGATGAAACAGAGCAATTCTAGACCTTGGGGAATTGTAAGGTCAAAGAATCAGTCTAGCAGGCTTGTACTCCTTCACAGGTATGTGGTCAATTGCAAAGAAAATGCGGAATAACTAAATTTAAAAAACTAGGAGCAGTTTTTGAAAAAAAGCCAGTTTTCTCCAACGCTGGTCGGCCGACCAGTGTTGGAAAAATACAATTTTCTTGAAAATGTCAGCACACCAGGAACTACGATTTCACAGGATGGTTCAGACTGTAATTCCCTAACAATCCAGTAAGGTATTTCGTGATAAAGTGATCATTTCGTTTTTTGATGTTTGCAAATGTTGTATCTTCCCTTTAAAAAAAATAAAGTTATTATTGTAATTTGAATTTTTACAACTGCACTCATAATCCAGAAACTAAAGAGCTTTATCAAACCTGAAACTGAATGTTTGAGCTATTTTTGATCTGAATGTATCTGTTGAAATTCTTCAAATGCCGAGAACAAATAATACGAAATGATATCGAGTATGAAAAGGATTAATCCTGATTGTTAATTTATATGCATAATAAATATAAATTATTTTCATTATGGTGTCAATTTAACACCATAAGGTATCGGGATTCAAGTCACTGATTACACTTACACAACTGCCACTCCAGATGGGCGCCACGGTGTAGGCCAGCCAGATTGGCGACTGGCCAAAGAGGACGATACCAGCAGCCGAGCAGATCCCCCCGAGCACGAAGTGGGGAAGGGCCAGTCCCACCAGCACAGCAGTGATGACACGCATGCTAGTGGTCTTTTCCTCCTTGGCTGATGGGGGCTGGAGGTCCGGCTCACCGTCGGCATTGGCCGTCGGTTCTGGCATGGGAGGACGCTCGGCTCTGGAGACGCACTTTTCCGCTGCTGCTGTCATTGTCGTGGGTTTGGCTTGTTTCTGATGGTCTTTTGAGATGCTGTAGGAGACAAAAATGCTTATTATTATCCAATCAACAAAGTTGTAGTTGAGCACTGGCGGATTTAGGGGTGGGGAGGCCTCTCCCTCCCCCCCCCCTCCCCGGGCCGGCGAAAAACTACCCCCCCCCCCCACCATCGAAAAACACCCCCCCCCCCTCCCCCCAGTCTGGGAGTAATCTCATGTAAATCTGAATTAAGAAGTCAACTCACAAGGCCCGTTACAAGTAACAATTTGATGTGTTATGAACAAAGGAATGCCTTTATCACATTTATACATATGTAGCTAGTGGGACTGGATGACTTAATCTGTGATGGACACGTGGTGACTTATGATTCATTACAAGTTACTCGACTACAACACCTCCAATCAACAGTCAAGAAAACGGTTATAGTAGGCCGGCCAAATGTGGAAAAGTCCTCCAGAAAAAAAGGTCACGGCAGTTTTTGGTAATGGCTGGCATCCATGCTAGATTGAACCATAACAAGATGTGGGTGGATGCTACTCTTAGTTTTGGCCCTAGCTTGCATAAATCGTTAATTCGCTGTGTAAATATATTTATCTCCATATTTGGGTATATATTTGTATTTTCTGAAAAGTTTATTATTGTGATTCTACTTAACACATCCTTAATTCAGTAACATTTTCTAAAGCATGTGAAGCAACTTTAGGGTATAATAGTAGCCATTTTGGATCGTTACTATGTCCTCATAATTATTCAGTCACTTGTATGCTTTAGAAAATGTTACCGAAGTAAAGATGTGTAGGTAGGATCACCAAAATATATATATTACACGGCAGTTATTATCGATTTATGCAAATTAGGCATATGTAGGGTCAAAATTAAGGACGGCATCCACCTACATTTTCTTCCCCATCCCATATGACTGAATGATCGGACACTTGCCTGCTATTACCGAAAAAAAAATGCCGTCGAAAGTGTAAAATTCCACTTTGGCTGGTCCACTATTAGGAATCAACTTCGTTCCTATGGTGTCGAGCAGTACGCTTCCGCCATTACCTGCTCGCTCAGCCTGGTATTGGATTATTTGCATTACTGAGCAAATTAAGAATAGTCTGGTGCCTTGCTGTACTTTAAATCGGTGTTTGTTTCTGTATGTGGTGCCTGGGGTAAAAACGGAATCAATCCGTGGTGGCAGAGATCCGAAACACGATTTTCTTCAAATTTAAAATGTAACAATCTCATCCAGCAACATTCAGCGTCACATTACATATTACATTTATATGAAAAATGGAAAAGGGGGATTGTTGTTGAGGTGGAGTGACCGTAATAATTCACAATGCACGTTAAAATATGTAATACACGTTGGAAATAAAAACACCAAGTACACCAAAATCATGATTACCGGCTTTGCTGCATCGAATCAGGATACAGGAAGCAAGTTTCCCACCCAGGGGTTTCTATTGGAAACGAGGTTGAAAATAAAGTAACCCCAGGAGACGAGGTTGGGGAGTGCTTTAGGTAAGACACTCAGTGAAATGATTCGACAACTCTGGAAACACGTGATCACTATAATTATGTCCGATACAAAGGTCTCCATTGCCTAACTAAGCACCAATCTGCCACGTGCAAAGCACAGAAAAAAATCTCATTAGCGCAATAAATCCGATTAAGCTTAAATTAATGGTTGATATTAACTGGTCTCTCTATAGTTTTGTGGGTGACGTAAGAAATTTATTCTGCGATGTGTCCTTTCATGACAACCGTACTTTTCATTTCTCGTAAATGTAATTGACTGGGCTTTATTTGATTTTCCACTTCTCTGACCTGCCTTAGTCTACACGATATTATTATGCGTGGCTGCACAAGCTACTTATTCTCCGACGTGACTTCAATGCTACTGATGCGTGTTTTGTACGGTTGTTCTGGGGAGCGAAAAAAAGTCCCGTTTTTCAATTATCAAATGTCAAACCTTTCATAATTTGATTTTAATTGACAGTGCTGACTTTCTTTTCACGACAGTGACAAGCTTTGGCAAACAATATAACTCTATTTCTCCCAAGAAAATAAATGAAAAGGATATCCAGACGATAATTTTCCCCAGGTTAACTCAATTAAAATATCTACGTAGAACGTTAATAGGAAGGATCACTGTACATCTAAATTATCGGTAGTCGGTACTGAACAATAGTGTTATGAATGACATAATAATTTGCGGATAATGTCGGTAATAATTAGGCCTATATGTTGGTTCACTTTGCGTCCTTTGCGCCAAATCAAAATTAGTCATGCACATTTTCTGCATAATGTACGGCAACCCAACAAACACACAGCTTTTTGCCATCATTGTGATGTATGCAAAAGCATACATGTACATCATACAGAATTAATATATCGTACAACTACTAAATTCTCATGTGATTGGAATTGTAATTATATTATCAAACATTCGACGTAAACGATTCGATTTTTTAAATGAATCAAAATTGTTATTGTGTGACATGTCCTTGGCAATTATGCAGCTACATCCATGTGCGCATACAATTGAATTATCTATCCACACGTATTTCTACAGCGCTGTTCTCTTTTATCAGTTAATTGCTTGACACCTAATAGCATTCCCATAGACACACACGCGCGACCCCGTGTCAAATTCAGTCGATAACAGCCGTAGGGAACAAAAAATACATGGCGGATAGTAACCCAGCGAGTGTGAGAAGAGGAGTTCGTTCTGTTATTAAAAAAAGGTTCGGTTTATTTTTTGGGTCGATGTCAGAAAATAAATTCAATTCAAATTCTGCACCATTACTATAGTCACTGCCCATTAGTGTTCAATCTCAAGGCTCGTGAGCTCGGGCTGTACGTACGTGTTCATAATTATTCGATCTCAATATATTTCATCATCATGGTGAGAATGTTTTTCTCATGATGGTGTCCCTATAAACGCTTTGATGAAAAAAATTATGGTGATCGACTGCAACTTAATCACATAAAACAAAATCACATAAAACGGGACGAGATTATAATGATATTCGATCGCTGTCTACATGTAAGAGAGTGAACTTAACCACTCGAAAAGAATTGTCCAACATGGTTCTTTTAAAGAGGGAAAGTTCATCTTTTAGATGACCCATAGCGAAGAACTACTTTAATTAATTAACAGTGAAACTCGATCCCACTCTTTTTAAAGAGCCACATGGCGACAACTCTTTTCGAGTGGTTTCTTACTCTCTTACATTAGGGAGAGCATTTTAACAGAGAGCATTTTAACAGAGAGCAAATATACCTATAATATGTTCTTATACATGAAGATGCAATTACATAATATCCTTCTGCCCACATTCATGTTAAATTGGGATCAATTGGGATAATCCGAAACCTGGGAGACATATTTATAAGTCTAAAATTGCTGTTACTATAGTTACCATAGTAAGATTACCAAAAATTGAATATTCTTTATAACCAATTCCCCGTCTTTCTACTACTGCAGGAAAAACATGGAGTAAACCAATTTCAAGAACCACAGAGGATTTTTTTCTCAGCCACTGTCGGACTATGGAACAAACTGCCTGCTTCGTGATCAGTTGTGAACTCTCCAAGCCTTGAGGAATTTATTAGAAAATCAACCCAAAATTGAAAATGCATTCTCCGTGCGAGTGAAGGGTCAACGTTGGTTTTTGATGTGGTGGTGTGATACTCGCGACGGAACCACAATGAGATGAGACTGAGAGAGAAATGTTCTATACTGATGCTAGTGTACGCTTACAGAGCATTTTATTTCGTATAACACCATAGACCAATGAATGACCATATAAGACGACTATATCTAGACTGATATAAGCGACTATCCATTTTGAAGTAAATACCAGAGACAGTACTTGTGGTCGTGTCTACAACATCTAAACCAACCATACGTGTATTGCTATCTTCAGGAGACAGCAGACGCAATTCACTATAGTCCATCTGACGCAAGCACTTGATATTACTTTTTGGAATAGTCAGTACTACAAGGCTAGAAGACCGCAACACTGATACCTTCAGTAAATGGCTGCCGCAATTAATTGCATCGCACTGAAATACAACATACTTTGTTTTGATAACCCTGATGAGAATTGTACGTACCTGTCAAGCTGTCAAGAACACGCACAGGCCAAAACTCGTGCTCTTTTGTTGGTGTTGGAGATTCTAATAATAGTATGGGTCTATCATAAATGATTCTCCAAGAACAACTCAGCATCAGTTCTGTACATCAGCTAACCTTCACAGTATACTGGCATTGATGTACACTGCATGGGGAGTAACGAGTATAACGCGCTGTGCAGCGTTGTGTGGTGCATCACCGGTGATGCAGCCGAGCTGATGGTATTCTTATGAGTTCGACCGGGAAAGGTTAGATGTCGCCGCGTGTCCGCGCAAATCCTGCTCTGCACATAATGATCCGGCGCAGTGTGCTTTCGTGTTTCCGCCGGTCGTCGGCAGAGTAGCGAGTGAGCGAAAGCAATGGCGGCGACGGCGAGGCGCTAGGCTAGCGGGCCTGACAACTCATCCGGTTCGAGTTGTCGACGACTCTTACATTTTCGTGCAAAATCGAAAGCATCATCTCACGGTGATATGATACCGATAGAAGTGTGAATGTGATCGCAACGATGAGATTGATGATGATGATAGAAAGTGAAGATGGCGATAATAACAATCTCGTTGGTGGGAACTGCATGTGAAACAAAACATGCTCCTGAGATGGCTGAATTACAGCTCGAGTGTCATAGCGCATAATTAAGCCTTATACAAAATCTATCAAAATGGCTATTATACTAACTGTTATACCTCAGTAGCATCAAACAAACTTGCGAAAGTATACGCCGCGTTCATATGAATCCAGTATATTTCTGCTATAGCGAATTGCGAAAAAATGAACTTGTCATTGGCCAATGAACTTTATATCAATAGGGCCTAAGTTTACTACATGTATATACAAAAATTAGTTCAAGATTGAGTGGCTACACATCTCGATAAGTTTTCAATGGTAAAAACATTGGTTTCTTTATAGCGGCTGCATGGTAGGCCTATATTTCATGCTCAAAATGTAAGGTGGCTCAAATTCGCCAAAATTCTACATTCGAGTGTCATGGGTCACTGTACAAAAATGTTCGACCAAGAATGTCCATATCAGTTCAAAGTCGACGATATGGGGCACCGTTCAGCAAACAAAAGTACAAACAAACGCCGTCATCAAAATGGCAACGTAGACCTCGATGTACAAAGTGGCGGGAACGCTGTTCAGTTATACACAGAACAGTCGTGTGGGAGTTTCTAGCAATAATCATGGGAGCGCATGTAGCGCAGGTGTGCCCTTCACATTGCTTACAGCGTAAGATGAGCATCCTATTATCATTTCTCTAATGTTGTCTCCAATCATCAACACTTCGTATGTACCCACAGACGTACACGTCGACACAACTTTCAACTTGGATCTATTTGTAGGTGCAATGTCGTATACGTTATCCTTTATTTATACTCATGTTTTCCCCTTGAAATAACCGACCTCCAACATCTCACAAATACAGCATCGACAATTGAACTTTCGCTCGTCCCCCCCCCCCCCCGCCCCCGCCTTGCAAACAGGGCGCTGGGACACGCTGATGAGCTTCACAGTATCTTGTAAAGAAAGTGTGGGTGGCATTCTGGGTAATTTATCATGACCTATGTATAAAGACATCCGGCTGCAGCTGTTTAAGACCGCTGTTTAAGACCGCGGTTAGCGCAAATGCTATCCGAAAACCTTCTCATAGAAATGTACACATTCTGTACCGGATGTTATTTGTTTTTCATTGTGGACCATGTGGACACATTTTGAGCATTATGCAATTTGGCCCTTCGTGAATTCGAAACGGAGCCCGAGCAAGTGAAGTCTGAGTATCACCCGTTATCCACGGAGCCAACTCCTGAAACGTCTGATATGTCTAGACATGCAGATTTATGCAAGCCGCGCGCAAGCCAATCGGAAAAATCGTGACGTCATTTCATTCCCAAATCAGGACTAAACTGTGATTTTGTCAATTCGAATACAGTGTTTTGTAATACAACAACAGCCGGCCGGGCGCGCATTTGCGTAACATGATACAGAGTGCCGTAAACAGTTTTTTTTATCTTATGACGCGCAACGGCTGAATGACCGAAGACCCGATATAGAAAGCGCCCGCTGATTGGTCAAAATCTAGGAGGTCAAGAGGCGGGGTCTTGCCTAATTAATCAACAAATCTGTCCATACATGGACTGGAGCAAGTGATGGGAATTCAAAATTTACAAAACAGATAAGTTTTGTAGATTTTCCGACATTATTACGGTTTCCAACGAAAATACACATTTATGAATGGGAATGAAAGAGTTTCAAACTTGCAGGGTCGTGGCCGTGATGACTTGCAGCTCACAGGTCACGCAAAATCTATCCAATCAGAGCGTAAATTCATCAGGCTATCCCAGCGTCCTGTTTGCAGGGCGGGGGGTACGAGCGAACGACCAACTTCGAACTCAAACTGTCGTCAGAGGGCGGCACATAGGCCTAACTTTTCGGCCAACAATTTTCAGTTCTCTTTTTTTTCCCAGCCATACCATTCCAACAAGAGATCTAGAAATGTTTAATCATATTTCACGAGTACATATTTTAACGAGGTTAGTAAACGGTTCTTTAATTTTTTTCAGACTCAGTCAAAACTCAAAAGTCATGAGACTATAAATTCATAGTTTTTCACTTAAGATAATATAGAAAAGTGGGGAAAGGATTACAAAAATTGACGGACTACAATACAATATAATTTACTTCACAAGTGTATTAAACCATGGGTTTTGGTTGCTTTTAACAGCTACTCTTATTTATTTCATATTACAAAGTATTAAGCCAAAAAAAAAAATAATAATCAGTCTCCGGTCAGACCGAAGTTCCGGAATTGATGCGGCGACGCGGTTTTTTTTGTTTGTTTTTTAAGCTTGAATTGTACAGACAAGGTGGGTACTTTGCTTTTTTGTGCCCTCATTATACATTGGTGTTCTCCATAATTTGCCTTGGTGCCCTTTATCATTTGCCTTGGTGCAATTTCCCCATTCCTTGGTGCTCCTTGGTACAAAAATTTGAGGTGAGGCAATAGAGGGCGCTGTTGTAGCTTCCGTGTTAATTTGAAGAAAGAAAAAAAGGTTGACGCGCATGGTTAAAATCGACGCGCGCGCTGACCAGAGACAGGAGTATTTTTTTTTTTTTGGCCTTGTAGTTTTGCCAGGACCAACTTATTTACTGTCAAAAGCATCATTTAAATCTGATATATATTCATTTACATGTAAACCATGGTTTAGACTTATAGTGTAACGGAGTATAATATTCATGTTCAGGGGCCATATAGATCTTACGCCTACGGGCGTCTTAAGGAGGGCGGCAGTGCCGATCTGATAATCATGAATACAAATTAGGTTCATTTATTGTTACAGAATTAGAATATCAAAGAACACCTTCTAAGATGGCTGCTGGGCATAAAGTCTATTTGCAGTCGACTATGGTACACTTCATTAGATTGCCTAGAGCCTCTAGTGTTTTTGATGATCAATTTCAAGGTCGTAATAATCACCAATGCTTTGCACCAATTTTCCTTAATGGACATAATATTCAAAACCATAATTTTTCAACATTATCTGTATCGACTGTAGTGTAAAACAAATATCATAAATTGGACAGGATTCAGAAATTATCGCAAGTTGCATACTTCAGTATAAAAGTGAAGTCCATGTTCCATGATAATGCTAGAGCATTACTATCATTTGAAATGGAGTTTTAAAAATATTAGAATGCGCTCATACTTTAAATTACCCTTTTCCAAAAAAGGGACAAATTGTGTGTTTAAGAATGACGTCAAGTTGTTTTTCCAAGGGAATGCAGCCCTGACGTGTGACAGCATTATCCTTTGCATTATCTTGTTTGTTTTCAATGATTCAGGCTGTTTGCAGCACATCCAATCCAAATTGAACAAACACTCATCATAAGCACTGTTCTGATGTTACAATCCACGACTGCGAGTCTGCGAGTTTGCTCCGACACCTGAAGTTCAAGCACAGGATGTATCCATCTGCGTTTGGTTACCAACTGTGGGTTATGTCTTTTCCTCATCTTCTGTGGGAATAAACCCTTTCTCCTGAACCTCATCTTTGTACTTCAAAAAGTCTCTTCTCCGGATGAAATATTTGACCTGAAAGAATAACAAATAATACCAGAGATGAAACGGTACATGTTGTTTGATCACAGTCATCTGAATATTTGAAGAAGCAAAAACAGCAAGACGTACATATTTCAAATTAGGTTTTTAACAATTTGATGTAAATGAGATGGTTGCTAATTTATGCAAGAACACACCCTTTCATTTCAGTCGGCTCCGCCTACTTTTTTGAGACATGCTCACAGAACTTTTTTTTCTCCTTTCTGTGTTTTATTGATGAGCCTGTATACTCACAGAACTTGGATTGCCTTTTCTGTGCACATTAATTCATTTCAAATATACTACATGTAAACATGATATCGAATTTTGGAAATTTTTATTGGAATCAAGTCCTTCTGAAATTTAACAAATCTCGCAAAAACGGATTTGGTCGAAGTTTAGCTTTAAAACAATTTGACTGTGTTTCTCATTTGAAATACCTCCAGTTCTGAATCAATCTACTTTTTCCTACTTCAGAAAAAAAAACTCATAACACCTCTGCGGCTGCCTTATCTTCAATTCCCTTAAGAGGACTGAGCTTGCTATTCATTTTTCTTAGACCAAGAATGGAATTTGATTCTGCTCCCTGACTGATCCTGGCAGGTGCGGTCACACCACTGTGGCGGTAAAGGGTGCTATCACGGTATATTCAAGATATTACCATTCATTTGAAATAGACTACATACCCACAAGAACCCCCCCCCCCCATCCGCCTTGCTCCACCCACTCACCCAAGTCTTAGAGCAGTGCTCATCAAAGCCCTGTCTCTTCTGTGCGCATTTCGTCTCGTCTCCACTGTTATTGTTTAGGCACTTGAAGTAGTCATCCCTGGCTGCCCAACACAACTTGCGACTCTCGGCATTTGGAAATGAAGGTTTGTCCGTCATCCTTTCTTTACACAAGGTGTTGCAAATCTCTGTGTAAGAAAATCAAACGCAAGTCTAGATGTTTAACCGAAACCTTGGGCCATAGCATTGGTATTACCATTTGGTGTATATTTCATAACATATTAGGGTCTCATATTATTATATAAAAATAAAAATTGTTTACTCAGTGAATGGTTCACATGTAATTGAGTAAAATCTGTAGTTCTCAAAATGGCATATAGGGCCTAAATCATTTAAATGAAGGAAAAAATTATGTTCTCATATTTATTAGTGTCATCGACATTAGTATTTATATAATTAACAGTGAGGTTTTTTAAATGTACAATGACCACTAGTCCGAGTAACTTGGACCCAACTTATCGCCTTTTTTAACATTTGGACATGGTCTGGCGATAGTCGCCAGACCATGTCCAAATGTTAAAAAAGGCGATAAGTTGGGTCCAAGTTACTCGGACTAAATGACCACTAATAAAATTAAAACTGTTCCTTCCTCCGCCAGTAAACTACATCATTTACATGTAACTTGAAGTTATTATCATTAACTCTCCAACACTTGCTTGCATGACTTGTCTACCATGTCTACGTTTGCACAACTGAAACTTTCATCATCACTGAAACAAATTCTAACTTAGTCGGAGGAGCAGGGTTAGTTAAAGGTGACTGCTCGATCGTGTTAGTATTTTTTCTTACCGATTGCCTAGTTTATTTGGCACTAACTTTACACTTCCAGAAGCACTGCAGTTTAGTTGCAAACAACAACAAGTAAAGACAGCTGACTTGGTTAAGTTACAAAACAGACAGAACACAAGGAGCTTAACCCGGAAGTTATAGCTTTCGCATGGCTTGCTGGGATATTATCAGTGACATGCGCGTACAGAAAAATGGTAGCCAGCACTGCTGATGCTGGTTGATGTCGGAACAACTTAACTAACATTCGTGCATGCTAAGAATTTCCTCAAAGGGTCGCCTGAGGCAGATACCCAAACGAAGTTTGGAAAGAAGCTGCACCTATGTGGAAATGCAGTAAAACGGGACGTCGAAATTGAGGTCAGCGTTGGCAAGCAATCGCCGCAAATATGTCTGGGTCTGGAGGCGTAGATTTAGCAACGGCAACAACGACTAGCAATCCGTCGGCTGATCCCAGTCGTGGGGTTAGCGTGTGCGCTGTGAAGACGCCGCGTGAACCGGCAGGGAAACTGAATGTGATGAACGGCCCTGATGTTGGAAGTACGGAAGAAGACAACCATTCTAGTACAGGGGACGGGAAAAGTGGGGGGAATTTCATTTGCCAAGTTGGAGGAGGTAGCCTGAGTAAGATGAATCAACATAATCATGACGACACAGAAAGTCATGATCATGAATCCGTGGTGAATTGTTTGGCGACGAATGAATGCTCGAGTGAAAAAGGACCTGCAACAGTTGGTGCCAAAGGCTGCTCCTGCAGCGACAAAAATACGAACGAAATTTGTCATTTAGGTACACCTGACATGCCTGATGCAAAAATTGTTGATAAAGACACAAAAACAGACACACCGAACAAAATAATGAAGCAAAAGATGAACATGGCCAAAGAGGCAGAAGCTGCTTCCGACCATGGAATGACAAATGGTTGTGATTGCCATGTGGATGAAGCATTGCTGAAAACTGACGAACACGATGTTGGTAGCCCAAAGGCCGTAAAATCAGAAACACTTAAGAATCCTAACGTCCTGTGCCAATCTCGAGACAACTTGGGAAATGTGACCTGCAATTGTGATGAGAAAATGAGTGAACCTTTAACTGATCTGACAAAAATGGTTGAGAATATTTGCCTGGAAAGTGATGATGCCCAAAAGATGGACTTTTCGTCATCAACGGAGAAAAGCAAGTCGGAGGCATCAGCCTGTTCTGAGCAGGGAGCAGCGTGTGCTGATTTACTTGCAGGGATGGAGCAGTCCTTCGGCGTCATGGGACCAGCAGTGGCTGGTGATCTCGACGATGCAGAATTAGAGGAGCTTCCAGCCTCCCTCTCTGACTTTGTTCTCGGTTGCCATAACAACCAGTACACAGTGCCTCCCTGTCCGCCCAATGACAGCGATATCAACACGATACACATTCAGACTGAGACAGGTCCTGATGATCACCCAGTCACCCTTATGCCGTACAAGTCGGAAGTCCAGATGCCAGACATAATGAGGCTCATCACAAAAGATTTGTCTGAGCCGTACTCAATTTACACGTATCGTTACTTTATTCATAATTGGCCTCAACTTTGTTTTTTGGTGAGTATAATACTAGTACAACCAAAAGTATTTTACTACTCGCCTTCCAATAAGTAGACCTACTTTCACAGTAATATGTGCCATCTTGTTCACGGGGCAAAAGAACACGTGTTGCTGAGCAGGCACGGCAATCGAAAACTTTTGTGCTTCCAAGTTATCATGTGTTTATTCCAATATGCACTTACGTCTAGCAACATGTGTTATTTTTGTCCTGTGAATGAACAAACATCCTTTTTGTCATTTCTTCATTATATTTTTCTGAATTCTTTGTAAGAGGAGTATAATAAATTATTGCACCTACATAGCAACTGTTGGGTTCTTCCTTGAACACATTTCAACATGTCTATGTCTAAATGAACTATTGAATTATTTGTAAAAAGGAAACAAAAATGGGACTTGAATATATCTCTCTAAATTTATTTGCTATTTTGAAATTAGCAACTCATAGCTATTTTAAAAACAGTGGATTGTTAATGACCAAAAAAATTCATGCCATTTTCAACTTGAACGTCAAACAAAAATATATAAATCCCCTATAAAACAAAATTTAAAAATAAATACATGTCTATAATGCAATCATTGATCATTAACATAGAGTATATATACATACCAAGTAATGTCTTCAATACTTTAGTTTCAACTCTCAATTTAGAGAAATGTTCATGAACTTCATTAAAATTTGATAACATTTTTAAATAAAGTGATATGAAATACAGAATCCAGTTCAAACCTGTCACGAAAAATATGGAACAAAAAATAAAATCCCAGATTATTGACAATGATGTATCGGTAACTTCACGATTTTTCTTTGATTTTACTTCTTGAGCAAAAACATATTGCTGCCTCATTTTTCTGTACATATCTGCACATATCCTGTTTTTGTAAGGACAGAAATGATGGAGAAGCCTGAATAGGGGAATTTGTTTCCTGGGTTTTTTTTCCCTTTTTTTGCTGACACTTCTAGAATAATTAATTCAAATGTCAGCCAGGCATCCTTCACTGAATTATAGTAATTCACTCTTTCAAGATACATTTTTTTTCCATTTCACCCCCTATCCACCCCCCCCCCCCCCCTTTCCCAGGCAATGCACCAAGACAAGTGCGTAGGGGCGATAGTGTGCAAGCTGGATGTCCACAAGAAGATGGCGCGACGGGGCTACATAGCCATGCTGGCAGTGGATGAACACTACAGGAAGCTTCAAATTGGTGAGAGTTCTTGCCGGGCCAATTGGATCCATCAACAGTGTCTGGTGTGATCCGGGGTTCAAGTCAGAGCAAATCATGACCCTCCATGGGTCAGAGGTCAGAGGGGACCAAGCCCGGATGGATCATTCTATAGATTTAGGGTCCAAAGTGTTGACATTTTTCGTGTCCCTGTTACCTTGGTTCTTTTTAATTTGCCATTCAAGTGTCATTAAGAGTGACTTCAAAATTTTTTTTAAATTTGCTGGGTAGGTAGTCTGCTATGTTCATAATTACACTTGGAAAATGACTGCATTAGGCCCAAAAAAAAAAGTCTCCGTTTTCTGGTATGGAGCTTGCCCAAAAAGTGGTGCGGCGACACGGCTTTTTTTTTTTTTTTAAATGATTTTTTTGCTTCAAATGTCGGCTGTTGACTGCAAATGGTGCCCAACTAAACTTAGTGCAAAAATATGGGAGTCCAGAGAGGCCACATAAAGCTTATTCTCAACCATAACCCAATCTAAAAGCACGTTAAATTGTGCAGCAGCAGGATTCCAGTCAAACCAGTGAGTTTGGTGGTTTTGAGACATCATCTTTCATTGAAAAAAAAACTTTATCATTTTGCCGACGCGCATGGCTACGGCGACGTGCGCACATACCAGAAACCGGAGACCTTTTTTTTGGCCTTAGGGAGTGCATCAGAATTATAGAACCGAAGGGACAGGAAAAAAGTGGACCATAAATTTATAGAACGACCCAGATATGTGAAGCGTTCTGTCAAAAACAGACACTTCTTGGCAGAGTTGGAATGGAGACATGACAACAAGAACTATAAGGCCGAGTAAAAATAATAAGTAGTTCTCGTCTGGCATATTTGAAAAAAAAATCAAGGAGGCGGTCACTTTTCTTTCTTTTTTCCTCCAAGACAAAATTTTTTTTGGCCCCCCCCCCCAAAAAAATTGTGTTCTGGATCCGCCCTTGCTCCAAGATGGGGATGGATTCTCCAATATTCTCAAAATTGTTGCTGATACAAAATTGTGTCCAAAGGAGCCATTACCCTCTTGCAAATGTATGAATTTTAAAAGAATTACAAAAATAAAATTGAAAAGTAGGCGGCATGGAAAAAAAGAAAGCAGGTGGCGACGAGAAATTGATTTATTTTTTTACTCGGCCTAAACTTGTAGACTAGACAAGCCTAGTAAAGTTATTCCCAGTCCAGTGTTAAGACAGAATGTACACAATTCTATTCAACTGATTCAGAGTAGCTATTCACTGGAAGTATTGTCATGCAGTGGACTGGAGTTAGCATATGACATTATGGGTTACTCCTATACAATAGCACTGCCCGGCTCACTTCGCCAGCCTACAGGCAGTCTGGTTCACATGAGACAAGTGACTCACCGAGTCAGTCCTTGAGTCAACATGGTATGATTCAGTTACTGAGAGATGGAGATTTTCGCGTGACGCCTGTAAGTTCAGGCACAAAAAAAATGGACACAGTTTCCCAAGCCAGACATGCGGGGGTTTTTGGATCGGTTTTCGTTGAATTTTTGTCAGGTCGAGTCGGGTCAGATTCGGGGAGTTTAGATCGGTTTCGGTTCACATTTGGTTTATATCTATAATGTTTCGGGTCAGTTTGGCCTGGTCAACCTGACCCGATGCACAACATTAGTTGCAATTGATTTCCATTCTGTATAATCTGTGTAAGGGCTTGTGTGGGTTTTCACACTCCACATGTATGTGATTTCTCCCCATTCATGGACTGTTTTGTCCAACTCAACCAAGAATTCCGTTACAGTTGTATTCAAAACTGATTTTTGGTTCATTTGAAGGTCATTTCATATCTTCATCTCAAAATATCAATTTCTCTTTAAGTGATCTCAGCTTTGTTTCTGATCACTGTCTGTCTATCGGCCTCCTAAGTTTAACTGGCAATACACTAAGTGCTAAACAAAGCACACTGCAGTGACATCATGGTCATTTATACTGGCCATTCTTCTGTCAAACTTTGTATGAGAACTAAATCAATGAGGATCGCTTTAATTTGTTTGGTGTTTTGTTTTTTAATACAGGCTCAAGTCTGGTGAAGAAAGCCATCCGTGCCATGGTCAGGGGAGAGTGTGATGAGGTAAATAATACACTCTAAATTGTTACAAGATTGGTGTAAAACCAATGGTTCACAAGTGCTGTTATAACCTAAGTGCTTTAAATGTAGAGTAGATCATTTTTTGTTTGTGCATTTGTTTCATTTGAAGCAACAGAAGTGCTCAAAATCTAAAGACAGGTGCTTAACAACTAACCTGATGAAGTTTTAGCTCTGTGAATGCTGTGTATTTTTAGAAAAAAAAATATTCTAAGATCTTGATTTCAGTTCAAAAGTTGCTGAGTCATATTTTGAATTGTGCCTGAAATCCCATCCGGAACACATTCTCATTCAACCGATCTACATGATGTCGTGAACTGAACCGACGAATAATAGCAACTACGCGCATATGCGTTGTGTCAACACTTGTGTGCACCCATTCGCGGATTTGCCCAATTACGAACCAACTACTAATGGAAATTCCCCAAAATGCCTCACTTGACTCATCTTTGGAAATGACCTTCTTTTATTGTTTTCTTCAAAGTGACAGCATGCCAGAAGGAACAATTTCACAGGGAGTTTAATGCCATTAATATCTTTAAACCAAATAAACTTTTCAAGAACAATTTGGTCAGTACTTTTTGGATAGCTGCAAATGATGTACTCTACCTTTAAACTGTCAAATGAACATTCATGTCAGTTTACAAGCGTACAGCTTTGCGCTTGCCAATGCCAACAACAATTCTCTTGAGAGTTCTCTAGAGAATTGCCTTGAAGAAATGTCGGGCAGCACGTGTACTCTGTCCTTATTTTTTTAATGCAATTTTTTTTTTGGCCTGACCTAAGATCAAGTGTTGGCATCAAGTATTGAAGAGGAAATGCCTGATTTCCTTGTAGGTGGAAGCCAAATTATCAGGGATCTGTTAAAGCATGTCTCAATGTTCCTACATAGTACATTCACTTGTTAGAATATTATCAGACTCTGGTGATGGAAAGACATGGAACATTGACTTCTTGAATGAAACTCTTACAAGTAGGCTCTATACAGGGTCGGATTAAAAAAAAACGAAACCAAGATATTATTGCTAATTGGAACAGAAGTAGGGCACATGTGAATCAAAGGGAGATATTCTCTGTTAGGGTTGAATCTCCTCTTTGAAATGACACCCTGATCATGTCCTTACATTCACGTTTGACTGAGCAGTAACCAATTTTATGAAAGGATCTATTTAGAGAGTTGCGCCACTTTTCATGATGAAATCTCTTTTTTCCCCCCACCAGCCTTGATTGGCAACGATAGCCTTTCACTCTGTGACAAATGACACCACAGAAACAACAATTGAAAAGTGGCGCAATTCTCTATATAGACCCTTTCATGAAATTGGTCACTGCTCAGTCAACCGTGAATGTAAGGACATGATCAGGGTGTCATTTTAAAGAGGAGATTCAACTCCAACAGAGGATATCTCCCTTTGATTCACATGTGCCCTACTTCTGTTCCAATTAGCAATAATATCTCTGTTTCGGGGTTTTTTATCCAACCCGTATATGGACCAACTTGCCAGTTTTCTGATGATTTAATAATTTGGTATTTATAATATGGTGCGTAGACATGTACATGAATAGCGATTCAAAACCAATGTCTGAAAGTGCTGCACAATTAGGCCTATCACACCTGTTCATCAGGCCATAAGACCTGTTTTCCGGAGAAGTTGGAGATCAGAGCCATCTGGTCTGAGTTGTCTCTTCCTTCACAGGTGCCCATTTATGTTCCTGTGTGCAGAGAGGCAATTGTTGTAAGGTGTCTTGCCAAAGAACACAAACACCATGCTTCCCCTGTCGGGTTTTGAACCCATGTACATTACGCACCGTCACTCATGAGTCAGACACTGTAAACATTTATCATTTTGTCTGAACAAAAATGAAAAAAGGAAATTATAAGCACTGTATGCCCGATGCTTTCCAATGTCTTATGATTTACTCGGATAGGACTCAAATCCCATTATCTTCTGCCTACTTGGGCAGAAATCATGACAAAAATATTCCTGAGATTTTCGGGGGAGGATAGACAATTTTAATCATATGGACCAGCGGGTACGGCAATCAGTGACAATACTCAGTCAGATTTTTCACTGTCACATTTTTCACATTTTTCATTGTAAGTTATGAAGGAATTTGACACTCGTTATTGGACAGCGCAAAATTTATTGGCCCATTACATTTTCTTGGAGGGTTTTTTATGTTAAATTTTGCCCGTTTTACTTGCCTGATATACATGGAGCTGTACAGACACTTATCAGACAGGGAGGAAAATGGAAACAGAAGTTCTAAGATCTTTTTTTTTTACCCAGGGAGGGGGAGGGGCATTTAAGAACAGAGTATATAATTTCAAATCTTGTGTCCTATTATCTGGTTTTTATCTTTCATTTGTCATACATTTTTTTGATAGTCCAAAAAATTAAGCAGAAAAATTAAAGTAAAAATTGAAAATTAAAGAAGGATTGGAGCCTGTGCAATTTCAAGAATGCCGTAAGAGGCCTCTTTTAAGTAAGCTGTCTACCCTGTGGCATTTTCAGTGCTGGTTACATGCATGTATGATTTTGAGGTTTGAGAATTGGAAAATCCTATACTTTTATCCCTTCTTGATCATTTCAAATGATTTCATTCCAATGTCTTCCCGGATTCAAGGTTGTTCTAGAGACAGAGATTACCAACAAGCCGGCTCTAAGACTGTACGAGAACCTCGGCTTTCTACGAGACAAAAGGCTCTTCCGGTATTATCTCAACGGTGTGGACGCTCTACGGCTCAAACTTTGGTTGAGGTAAAAAAAAAGAACAGGTTGCATAAAATTGGGTGCATGGGAACATCCATTTCCAGTTTTGTAGTCAAGGAACTTGTGATGGATCACAATTACATCACAAGTCCGGTCATAAGAAAATCACAAGTCATTTCACAAGTCCAGTCACAACTCACAAGTAACGTAGGGTGAACACTAAAAACGGAGTGCCTTTGTCACAGATCATTTGAATAGCTTGTGATGTGATTTGGGACTAAATTACCCATGGATTGACTTCTGACAACTTATGACGACTTGTGTTCCATCACAGTACCACAAACACCTGGACTATGTAAACACTTTCCATGTTGGTAACAAATCGCATGTGTTCCCATTGAAGAAAAAAAATGGTATAGGTGCTTACCGCTGGAACCTTAAATTCTAATGTCTCTACCAAGGCATATATTAGGCTCTGTTTTTCATATGTTTTCTTTCCATCAGCACCTCTTGCTAAGAGCATCAAGGCCATTTCATAGTCAGTGCGAAAGTGAATGTGAACACACACTTGTGACTTGATGGCAAGTTTTCAAGTTGTGATTTCGCAGAAAATGAACAGCATTCAACTGCGGCGAATTTCGCGAATGTTTCCTTATAAACAGGCCTTCACACTTGTGTCATTGTATTTGGTGTACGAAAATGCTGCTGTTTTGTGGAATAAAACCAGTTTCTTTAAGAAAAACGTTTAGCTCTCAAAATGAAAGAAGAGAGGGCTGAGTGACTTAAAACTTTTCTTTTGGCAGAATTTCAAAACAATACTAACGGGATCGGTTGGCTGGTTCGAATCTGTTGTACATAGCAGCGGGTACCGCATAAACTATTATAAGATTTTTTCCAACTTTCACTCGGGAGGTAACACACTGAGTATACAGTGTTTAAACGTCGGTGAAGGGCAAAAAAAACTAATTTGATTGATATCACCCCGACGCAAAATTCCATCTTATAACACTAGGTAGTTTGTTATTCATAATCACTCTTGGAGAATGACTGCATTAAGGAGTACATCAGAATTATAGAAAGTCAGATGTAAAAAGTACAGGAAAAAGTGAACCCCAAATTTATAGAATGACCCATATTCTTTCCTGCTTTGGGCCCTGTAATCCTTCCTTCAAATTTGTTCACTTCACTTAAGCTTTTCAGCCATTCAAATTGGTAATAACTAGTTGAGTTTGTCAAATGGTTTGGTCTTTGATGTGCATGGGTCCACACAGACATGTTCACACAAGCTTGTTCCGTAACTGTGGGGACTACCCAGGAGTTGTCCCATGGTAGTATGGGGACCCAAGACGCTGTGGGGACAGCCAAAAATCCCCATAACTCAATCCTGATTTCCCTAACAATAAAAACGCTTCCCCATAACGCGGTGACGGCCCGCCCACTCCCTGGTGTACATTACCTACCTCATGCACAGGGTTTATTGTAGCTGTGATGGTTCAAGCTGTTGGGCTGAAAATCGGCCAAAAGTCTTTCAGAACCTAACCACCCCAACCCTTCAAAATCCAACTGCATGTTTTTGTTGGAATCTGTTGGAGTGAGTACTGCACTAGTAAACTGATCATGCTTTGAATGGGGTAAGGCACACCACCAATAATCAGAGTCCAACAGTTTAGGTGTTGAGTTTAACATATGGTGTTGGATTTTGCAAGAGTGAGGAAGGTTCCTGGTAAATCACTCATGGGGTTTAGTGATGTACCTCACAGAGGCCAATATTGTTTTAAGTGTTTCCTTATTGTTTTGCCTCCTTGAATGGAATGCCAAAATGCCACACCGTAATCTGTAGTGATTATTAGAGAGCCAAAACAAAAGACAAGAGTTCAATAGGAAATATCTAAAAGATTGCGTCCCATTCTTAGGACATGTGGGCCCAATACAATGTTGTTGGATAGTGTGCTTTTTAATTGTGTACCTGGGATTGTTAAAATCATATCTTCAAAATAAGTAGAAAAACAAATGACAAAGTTGAAATTCCTCACGTAATAAAAAAGTTTTAAAGGCAAAAAAAAAATCACAATTAAACTTACGCACATACATGTATTTCCAAAAAAGAACTTACTGCATTCAGTTATATTTTAAACAAGAAAATTCCCAGATGAAGTGTCTTTTTATCAACTTTATTCAGTAAATTGGCGTGACATTAGCTCTGGTATTTTTGGAATTTTCAAAGTAATTCATTTTCAAAGTAATTCATTTTGGAGCCAAGGGCTATATAGCTGCTATCATCAAGCAAGTCTGTGTGTATTGTAATTTGCTGTGTACATGTACATACTTGCCATGGTTCAGCTCCTTGAACAAAATGTCCTGGTGCTAAAGTCAAAAAAAATTCTTAAGAAAGTTTAGAAAGTACAAGAAGTCAATCAGTCTCAAGCAGACATCTTACTAAAAGAATCAAAAATTGTGTTCAACTGCAAAATTTGGTATACGTGATGTAATTTCTTTAAAATGGTGAAGCAGAATTGCTCTGCACAGTTTTGAGGTTAATTTGAGCAAATCAAACTTCAATCCATTGTTGAATCATAAACAGCCAACTTGTATTTTACATACCACTGTTTTGGCAGTGGGTTTTTTGTTAAAGTTTTATTCATGGGCCTACATATACAAAATTATTTTCATATATTACTAGGCCTTCGAGAACTAGGCCTTCAAGAACTGGGGTTTAATTGTTGTGTATGCAACAGCTTAGGAAATTATTCCCATTCGAAAAGGGAACCCCCATTGTAATTCCAATAGGTTCTACGCTTGGTTGGCAAACTGCATTTTTGCCAACCACGGGTTGCAAAATTATGGAAGGTCCAACACTGCAAAGATGAAGAAGAGTTATTAAAGATAACCAAAATATTATTAGATTGATGGAAATACAACATTGTCAACAAAGCCACAACATAATTCCTAAACATGCCTTTTTACTTTGTATTGAGGGCGTTATGGGGACTTTTTTTGGAATTTTTTGGAAAAATATGTTGCCAACCACGGTTTCAATTTATGCGCTTGCGGCAGCCCATATAAAATGGTGCCAATGTTTACAAACAAAAGAAAGGTCTATTGAACTTCCATATGCCATCCTCGTGTAAATCATGTGTATATGAATGTTGTGGTCGATTGCATGCCCATTGATCTTCATCAGTAATCTCCATTACTTACTTATGGAGATCAATGGGTGTGCCAGTGTCTACCACTGAAGTTCTAAACACCGCCCTCTGCTGGTCGTTTTCTGTGAAAACTGAATCCGTGTTTTTCAATATACCGTTAGGTTGCTGCGGTTACTGCGGTATATTTATATTTAGATAAATGAAGACATAAATTTATCAAATCGTTAACAGATTAATCTACAAAAACGATGTAAATTATTTGTTTCATCATTATACCATTCATCGCATTGAAAATCTGTTTCGTATACAGATGTGATTTTGCCGTAATATTTATTTTGGGAAACAAACAATAACACCCGTGGTGCTGCGTTTGTCTCGATATTGGCAATGTACAAGTATTACTTTGATTGAAATGTAACTAATGTCAAATTACATGTAGCATGATTTTTGTACATAATGTGAAATACCTACATGTACAAGAAGGCCGCTTCCAGTGCTCTGTGATGCTGGGGTCTTGTTTGCTATAAAAAGAAGTAACTTATTACTTGATGTTCACAATTAGAATCGAGATCAATTCTTCTCTGCTGTAAATTGCTCGACACACTTGTGGCTGGATTCTTTATCAGATTTTAGCCCTAATTTTCCAATTTTGTCCACACCCGACTTTTATGTTCTGTACATTATTGTTGACTTGTGTACAGTGTTGTATTAATAACTGCCGTCGAAATAAACTTGAAATTGCTTGAAACCCTGTAGCTTTTTTACACAAAGATGTCACTTGTGTGTCAAAATGTGAAAAAAAAATGTGCATGTGTCCAATCTTTTAAACGTCTGAATCGGTTTCTTCTGGAGAAAGCTGTGTGAATTCTGAAGGAACGAATAATGAATATATAATATTGAAGTTGTGTATTTAAAATCGGCCACTGCCTTTCCATTGGACTAATGTTCAGCAAACACAGCCGTGGCAGAGGGTTTAGGCCATCAGCCTCGGTCCAAAATGTTGGCAACCGGTATCAAATTAGGGGAATAATCGTCATAGCGATTTTTGGCAAGGTATACACCTCCGGAGTTGGAAAATATGTGATAGCATTGCAGCGGTGGCAGGAGTTTTTGTGTTATCACCGTGTTGTTTTTTTCAAAATGTCCATCAAAATGCTTGTTACCACTCTAGGGGCGGTATACCTTGCGCATGCTCACTATAATCATTTGTGCCCTGATTTGATACCGACCAAACCCTCAGGCTGATGCCTAGTTTTTAATAGAGTATTTTTAGTTGCGGTACGTGCAGTGATTTCACAGATCTTGCTTTAAAATAAAAAAACTTTTCTTGCAATTATGTGTGTCCTGTCTTCCAATTTAATTTTCCTGTGTACATGTACGTTCATATGGACCTATCCCCTCAACGGCAAAAAAAAAGAAGTCGTCGGGAGAGACCATTGGCAGGATCGGGAACTTCGCTCGTCCCCCCCCCCCCCCCCCGCCCTGTTTGCAGGGCGGGGGGTACGAGCGAAAGATCAGAAACGTGTTGTGTCCCTCACGCTGGAGGGCACAACCCAGTAACAGAGTGACCGTTTTAGCCGATTCAAGTTTGGCTAACTTTGACAGATTTTTTTTTAAAAAAACGAGTTTAAGGCCAAAAAAAAAAAAATATTCGGTCTCTGGTCAGACAAAAGTTCCGGAATTGACGCGGCCACGTGGCTTTTTTTTTTTTTTTTTTTTTTTTTTTTTTTTCTTCAAGCTTGGATGGTACAGACAAGGTAGGTACTATTTTGCTTTTTTGGTGTCCTCATGTACATTGGTGTCCTCCATAATTTGCCTTGGTGCTTTCGATCATTTGCCTTGGTGCAATTTCCTATTCCTTGGTGCTCTTTGGTAAAAAAAATTGAGGAGGTGTGGAAATAGAGGGCGCTGTT